CTCAAGAAATTAGTCAAAGCACGCCAAACCATGGCATGAATTTATTAAAAGTATTTTGTAAATTATTGTAAAAGATGCAGATCTAGATCTAGAGGTCTAGAATCTAGACCTAGATGATAGATCTAGACTAGTCTAGTCTATTCTAGACTCTAGATTTAGAAATTGAAATGGAATAAAATATTTTTCAAAATAGACCTAGGGTCTAGACCTAGATCTAGTCTAGGTCTAGTCTAGATCTAGGTCTAGTCTAGTACTCTAGACTTTCTAGATCTAGAACTAGTAGACCTAGTTCATGCCAAGCCCGCGCCGATGGTTTGTTGTGTTGTGTCTTGAGAAGTTGAGTGTTTGTGTGTCTCACCGTCACTGAGTTCGAGCACAAGTCTGAGCTGAATGAGAGGTACTTTGTCTTAGACTTTAGGCCCATCTAGATCTAGATCTAGACTAGACTCTAGTACTGACTGTCGAATGTCTCTAGATCTACACTCAACTCTTACAAATTTATACTAGTCTACATCATGATCATGTCTAGGGCTAGGCTCTACATCAATACATTGTTGTACTTGAATTTTGAAGCAAGTTTAAAATCTGTGCAAGCAAATAGCCAATAATGTGTGTTCTTCCTAATCTACATGTAATCTTAGTCAAATTCAACCTTTCACATGGGACATCTAATGCTAATTTACATGTACATGTATCTAATTTCACATTTTATCAAGCATGAGTAGATTTTTAACAAAACATGACAGGAATTGGCCCCTACGTTCTGGAGGTTCAGTGACATCATCTTTCCTAATTGCCCAATAGTATGGATCAATAGCACTCATTTCTTTAATGTAATCAAAGTATCGTTAATATTTTTTTTAGAGTTTGCAAAAGCTATTCAAAATCAGATTGTCTACAATACAAAGAATGCAAAACATGTAATATCATAGGATTTATTTGATAAACAATGAATGATATTTTTTCATTTCATGTTCTAATTTTAATTCACTTTTTTCTATTTTGTTGTGACAGAGACAGCATGGCTGAATATATTCACCATCTCCGCCAGCTTGATCGGAACAGAGAGTTGATAGGCAGACCTCAGAGAGGCCATCGTGACCCATAAACCCTTTTGAAGTGTATGATGATGAGTCATTTCGGACCAGGTACAGGTTTTCCAAAGAGACAGCGCTCTACCTCATCAACTTGGTGGATGAAGAGCTGAGGAGGACGGCAGACAGAAACGACCCAATACCTATACAGGTAGTGACAGCACTTCGATTCTATGCTGTTGGTGAGTAATTTACCTTATTTAGTATTTAGTAAATTTCTATTTAATCTGGGCTGAGCGAAAAAGTAAAAGGGTAAAATTGCGGTTACCATGTTTTGCGGAAGGTTTTTTCATAAACCGGGAGATTCTACATCAAAGCGGGAGGAAGGGCGTGGTGGCGTGAGACTCCCTCTAAATGCAAGAGGGTTGACAGCCCTGATTTAATAAAAAATCTATTCTACAATTTTAAGGACTTTAAACATTTCTCAGTTTGAGAATTTGATCTGGCCATGTAACTTGTAAGAAATTGTACTAGTTGATATTTCACTAAAAGGATTTTTTTTTTACAGGGTCATTCCAAAAGATGCATGGTGATGAGGCACAACTTTCACAGTCTTCTGTATGCAGAGTCATCAAAGACGTGTCAGAAGCGTTTGCAAGAAGAAGGAAACAATTCATGAAGTTCCCAACATCAAGAGAAGAAGTAGAAGCAACACAGCAGCAGTTCTACCAATACTGCAGGTTGCCAGGTTTTCTAGGTGCAATTGATAGGACTCGTGTCTACATCAGGAGTCCTGGTGGAGATCAAGCCCTGTATTTTATTAATAGGAAGAACAGATACTCTATTAATGAAATGAAAATTTTCCCTTTTTTTGGAGCTGCTCCCCATTTACTTTTAATGCAATTAAATGACCGATATGGAATTGGTTCACCCTTTAGTTTCTCTGAACGAAACGTACACCCATGCAGTACTGTGGTCTGAAACAATTAGACCGTATGATTTGAAATCTAATGGTTGATATAGTTCCTCCCAAAAACATTTTTGCAAAAGGTACCAACCACTTTGAAAGGGAAATCGTCATCATCTTCATCATTATCAACATCGTCACTGAAATCGTTATTTGACTGCTTCATCACCATCGCCACCGACAACATTGCTGTCATCATTATCATCACTGACATCATTATCGACTTCAACATTGTCTTCGTCAATAACCTTGAATACTTGTTTTGATTATCCATATTAAATCGTCAATATTTAAATATAGATTTCTCTTGTTTAATGGTGTGGTTTTTCTCGTGAAATCATTAAGTTAGGAGGTAAACGTTTTACAAGTGAATGACCTACTTTGTTTATCTTGTTTAATTATTAATATACCATTTGCTGTTATCTATTACTTATAATTACCCAGTACACACCATGAATTAAAATGGATTCGGTATGTTTCGCTAAATCCAAACACCCACACAGAGAGAGCAAAAGATAAAGAGAGAGATGAAGAAAGAAGGAGAAAGGGTTTGTGTGAGAGAGAGAGAGGTGGAGAAAAAAGAGAAAGAAAAGGGGTACGAGAGGGATTTAAAAAAATGGAGTTCTAACAAAATAAAAAGATATTTGAGAGAGGTGGGGTGGAGAGCTGGTGAAAAAAGAGAGACAACAAACAAAAACAAGGAAGGTGAAAGAGTGGGAAGTAGAGACGAAATTTACAAAAAAGTTCTTTTCTTTTTGTTTAAATCACTATTCCCTTGAGAAATTCAATAAAGCAGAAAAATTAAGAAAAAAAAATGAACGCCCCCCTAAGAAAAGAATTAATACAGCAAATAAACAAATTCACAAAAAATTAATGCCCCCCCCTAAAAAAACAATGCCCCCTCCCTAAGAAAAATTAAAAACAAAATTACCCCCACCCCCTAAGAAAATAATTAATGCCCCCTCCCCCCTATGAAAAATTAAGAACAAAATTCCCCCCCCCCTCCCCTCCCCCTCAAAAAAAAAAAACCCATCCCCTAAGAAAACAATTAATGTCCCCTCCCCCCCCCCCCCCCGAATTAGGCCTGATAATTCTTTATCACATGTCAAGACTGCCTTGTTTTTGCTGTCCTCCTATTTTATATGACCAGTAAGCCCGGTTTTTTTTCTCAATACATCTATGCATTTTATGCATTAATGCCAGTATTTTCTATCAGATAGTATTTATCGTAACCTTTCAGCCCTTTCTTTCTACATCATCAACACATTATGGACTAAACGTCATCGATCGCTTTCGCTGCCTCTACGGAATCTACGCTATATATAACACGAGTCTATTCGGATTGATTAATTGCTAAACTAAAGTGTGACCTACGCTCTAAAATCATCATAACAATCAACGAAAATGTGATCATATAGCTCTAAAATGAACACTACATCATAGAAAATTTTCACTCTGGTATAAGGGTCGTTTACAGAAGTTTTTTGTGGACTCTTCCACGAAAACTGTCGATGTTTAGTGTGTTGTGATGCCCAGCTGATCATAATTCGTCCTTGTTTTCACGAAGTGACGGTAGTGAATGGAAATCGCATACACTTTGCGTGCAGATTTTCCTCACTACCGTCACTTCGTGAAAACAGGAACGAATTATGTCGGACGATTATAGGCCATAAATTAACAACGATAGTGAAGAATTATTGAGGTAATTTATGCGAAATTCGGTTATATTTTGAGGACATCTGTCAGAGATCTGTTTTAGTATGTGAATAGTGGTTTAAAGTCTTATCTCATCTTAGAATCGGTCGGTTTTCAGTCTCTACTTGTAGGCGAAGAGTAATAGCCCAAATACAACTGAATCTGGACTTAGCAGACGACGGTGAACTAGGTGGAGTAACCAAGTGTACTGAGCGCGCATGCTCAGTTCAATGCTTCAATTCTGCGCATGCTCAGTTTATTTTTTTGCTCTCTTAGGCATGCTTAAACCGTGGGTTAAACCGTGGGTTAGATTTAGACCATGGGTTATTTAACCCACGCTTTGTGAATACCGAGCGAGGTTTAAACCGTGGGTTAGATTTAGCCTGGGCTAAATAACCCAGGGTTAGATTTAGCCTGGGTTAAATCTAAACCTCCTTTGTGAATTCGGGCCAAAATGGCCAGCAAAACTGAAGTCCACGCGCATGCGTAATACATATACTAGGTACTGCAGCTCAGCCACAGGGCTGTGAACTCAGCTCGTGAATATTCATGACGCGTATACCTCTGAACCAATCAGGAGGCAGGATTTTACTCTCATAGGTAAACCTGTTTGGGAAAAAAAAATTCGCGGCCCGGAGACCAACATTGTCCGTTTCTTATGTTGTCGGTCTTTACCTGGAGCTAATATTACTGTTTCACAAGCTTGCCACCGTTGAGAATATTAAATCATAATTTTACTTCTCGGATATTCTCCTGATAATAAATTATAGCCCAGCAAGAAATAATATGCATTCCTTGCATCTTCACGTCGTTTTCACTTTCATGATTTTCTTCACATACGTTTTTATGTTTTACCATTTATTCTTTTACACATATTAATATGATAGGAACTTACAATTTAAATTGCAAAAGGGCTTTTACTAATTATTGACAAAAATATTTTTTGGTAAAAAGACTTCACTTCACTATGTGACGACTTTAAAAAGACACCGTACTACATGTAAAGATAATACTACCTCTGTTAAAACAAAATTTAAAACCCTCTTTTCAGTATATCTTCTTTATCTTAATCGTATATTTTGTTTAAGATGAGTAGTAGCCGCAGTCCATTTCATATAGACCTTGTACATGTATTTAGGTATTGCATCAAATCTCGTGTTCAAAAATTATAATGGCGAGTACATTTCCATCACGTAAAAATCTGATAAATCATTCTTTAACTTTGACGAAGAAAGCATATTTTGGTATTTCAGAGAAAAGGCCATCGAATATAAGTATTGCGTTAACAAATATTTAAATATAGTAAATTCAAAGCGACCAAGAGAAACAATATTTCACAAGAAGAATTAAGTACATACAACTGTTCATTTTAGTCCTCTATTTTCTCACATACACATATTATGCCTACACTAAATGGATGTGTTTGTTTAAGAAATTCACAATTTCAGTGACGAAATGGGTGTTTGAAATAAAGTATAAAAATGCCATCCTCAAATTCAACCTTTGTAGTTTGTTGCGGATCCAAGGATATTTTTGATGGGGATACTCAGTTCTTAAAATTCTGGTGAGCGAAAAAGAGAGAATACGTACACTCATGCCCCTAAGCCCTCTGACAAACAAAACATGGAGGTGTTCAAATTTAGAACACACATCTCGACTCACTCGAGGACACGTTTGTTTCAAAATAATGACACAAGCCACTAATTTTACTATCAACTATTTATACTCAAAAACTGAAATATCAGCTTCCGTTTCCATGTTTGACATAAAACCCAAAACGGTTAAACCCTCTTCGCTTACTCGACGAACACGCCCGCGCGTTCGGAGAGAAAGTTCAAGTAGGAACCCGCCAATGACTTCCTCGTTAATGTCAGTGGAATATTCTACGATACCGACAATGACCACGACGATAACGACGACGAGGAGGATGATAGTGATCGGGTAAGATCGGGAAAGTTCGGGAGGGTCAACAATGACCCCCGACCGCGTGGCGTGATGATTGTTCGAATATAATCTAGTAAGGATTCGTCGATGTCTACAAATAATGTTATTGGTATGTTCTTTAACATCGACAAAAGAAAATCGACCTCGAAGCAAGATGTTATATAAAAAAGGTTTCAAAGGAATCCATCGATGATTTTGTAATGAATCTCAAGTTGGATCTTTCTTTCTTTCCATGCTGACAATGACCTCGACTTCGCGGCATGATCGTCTGAGTGTCACGTGTCACCAAAATCCAGTAGGGTTCTGTCGCCTTCTACGTAACTGATGCGATTTGTATTTTCTTCCACATCGAAAACAAAATCGGCCTCAAGGCAAGATGGTGATCGAAACCATTTCAGTCGGAATCCGACAACGACGTCGATACACCCGGGGTGCGTCATCGTCATCGACCCTGTACGACGTCGGAGCATGATGGCGGTCGTGTTGTCATCTGCAACAGCTTGGCTTGTCATGCTCCTCCTCGAGCTTGATGCTCTTCGCTCTCGGGCTGGCACAGGGGTTAAGCTTAGGATACTGACAAGTAAAAAAAGGAAGAAAGAAGAGAAAATTGTGATGAGACCGAATCCAAGGAATTATCTACTCTCTATACAATCGAGTGATCACTGACGTCACTCCTCTGGAGAGTGAAAATGTGGTGAAAATAGATTGAACATTCACTCTTTTCTTCAAAGAGAGCACTCTAAAATCAATCGATATTCACTCCTAAACAAGTGATCACTGACGTCACTCCCAAGAAAGTGAAAGTACAGTGAAAATTCACTCTTTTTTTTAGAGAGACTTACGCAATAGATATTTGTTTTGTTGGGGATGTGAATACCGTAGTTACATCCCTATGACAGACACACAAACACACGAATCGGCAAACAAATAAACGAAAAAGATACAAGATAAATTGAAATGTTTGTATAAAAAAGAAGACATTTGTCGCCATTGAAGTGTATTCTCTCTTTTGTTCTCAGTTTCCAATGTCGTTGTGACATTGCAAGGCAGAGGTGTAGGACATAAGATATTTTTTTAATTTGTAAAGACAGTGAAAAGAAATTGTGTTTGAAATCTTTAATCTTTTCTCATCAAGCACAATTTTTTCATTTGATTTCGAACATCCAAACCACCATTCACTCATCTATCTGTAGTACTATCATAGCCGTTTTAGTTCTCATTTTTTCATCTTATATAAATTGTGAATAGATATATGTACTTACCGTAAATTTCAGGATTTGATTGGCAAGAATATGAAAGGCATCGAACACAAGGTGATTTTCTCGAGCGCTGACCTCTAAGTAAGGACATCCAAGGCACATTGCAAGCTGGTGAGAAAATTAAGCATTTCGATTATTTTCTTTCATACATTTCAAGAAACCGTCGCATTATAGGTTATCATCAAAAACAAAAGAGCATTATTAGATCATTACGTAGCAGGGCGCAGTGACACAAAGATTGGCAATCAATTACAAATTTGAAATAACGATTCAGATTGGTTAGTGGCCAGCCTTATTAACAGGATGTGCTTGAAACGATGATCTTGATTGGTCATTACCATTTTGCAATTGATTACAGACTTTTGTGTTACGGTGCCCGAATAACTCATTTGTCGTCGAATAGTAAAATCAGAGGAGTAAAGAGTGTACGGTGATTGAGAAGGCATGGATGATAACAAGCAAAGCGACAAAATGAGGCTAGGAGGAACGTGATTATTTTTCTCTCTCGTTCCCAATTCTTCTTCCCCTTCCTATCCATCTCCTTTTTTTTAAAATAAGGATGATTTTTTTTTTATTCGAGAAGATGAAGGAGATGGAAGTAATGGTGATAGACAGAAAGCAGAAAATGAGTGACTGACAGGCGAACCAATAAACATGGAGAGGAGAAGAAGAAAAAGAAGAAAATTAAGAAGAAGTAGAAGAAGAACAAGAATACGAACAAGGAGGAGGAGGAGGCGGAGGAGGAGGAGAAGGACAATAAGGGGGAGGATGGGGAAGAAGAAGAAGAAGAAGAAGAAGAAGAAGAAGAAGAAGAAGAAGAAGAAGAAGAAGATGAAAGAGAAGAAGAGCTTAACACTACACAAGACACAAATGCACTTAAAATCTTTTTGTTTGTTTTACTGTCTAACCATGAGTATTTCGGACGTCAATGTTGTTCTATTCACCATGTCGCTCGATACCCCCTCTACGTTCTACATCTAACAAAACCGACTAGAGAAAAGTCCCCTCAACCATTATAGGCATAGGTGACATGGAGAAGGGGGGGGGGGGGTGGGGTGCTTACCTCGTGACCATTTTCTATGCTGACTTCACGCCAATCAGCAAGGTCCACTTTGTTGCCCAGCACCATCCATACTGCTTCCGGGTCAGCATACTAAAGGAGACAAAAAAGACACAAACAGAGCTCAATAAGAGAGTTCAGTTTACATTACAATGACGTTAAGTTTGTGAAAATAGTGAAATCTATGGCTGACAAAATCACATACAGTGTATTCAAGTGATTTTTAATGGTGACTTTTTGATTTTTATTCCAAAATACAATGTTTTACACCTATTAATGAGATTAAAAAAGAGCATTGCCTTTTTCGAGACAACGTCGAAAATATCTCTACAGATTTTTTTTTTTTTTTTTGATGTTTTGTTTTATTCACTTCGACCAACTTCGTTACTAAAATGTATGCTGTCACAATTCTCTCAGAATCGGTGCTGTCGAGCCCTAGGGGTTCGGCGACAAAGCGTATGGGAGTGTGTTTGAGTTGGGGGGGGGGGGGGGTGGACTGATCATACTCAATTATCATATTCTGCATGGTCTCGGTACACCGAGACCAAGATCGAGTCATTTATATCAATTTCAAATGATACTCTGAAATTATGTTCATGTGTTCCTGCTCTAACCGATATGGAACAGTGTTTATCATATTAGAGTGCAGTTTTTGCATTCCTTGTCATTTTATGATGAGGATTTACAATAAAATACCATGATATAAACTACATAAAGAAATTGGCATGATAATGCACGTTGAGATCACATGACCTTTCTAACGGTTGTGAAAGACATTGCTTCAAACTTCCAGTGCAACGTTCTGTAACCCATGTAAACAATATTATACCTGTATTTGCACGTAACGGGTCATTGTTCAATCGGTATTTATCAGAAGGAATGTAGTTCGCGTGATAATATTCATATTAATATGATTACATATGTACGTGTACGAACAAAGTCCATATAGGGAATCAACTGAAGTATATACATGCACAATTCAAGAGAGAGAGAGGGGGGGGGGGGAGACGTTTCCAGCCCAAATGGCAACTTTTCTGTTTTTCAAATAATGCGAGTAACACACGATGGCGAGCGAGCATTTTGACTGAAACGTTATGATATTGAAATGTGTCTTGTCATCAAAATATACACATTTATGATATAACAATTACCCGGAAGTGAAAAACGTAGTTGCCCGATTATGAGGCGACTTCTTGAACATTGGTATTCAACATTTTCGGGTGGGGGTGGGGGGGGGGGGAGCAGCATCTCCAAGCCATTTCGAATACGAGGGCATTTGCAGAGCCACCCCTTTTCTATGATACTCTTCCACATTAAAATGAAAGAATGGAAAAGCTCACAAATTAGTGTTCACCTCTTCCAAAACTCAACCTTCTTTTTATTTGGATTACCAACTGTTTTTCGGCCATGTCCTGCACATGTCAATATTTTATATTGTTTTGGAAATGAAATTGTTGTTGTTGTTGTTGTTGCTGTTGCTGTTGTTTTTATTTCCGAAATCAGATAAAAATATTATACATAGTAAAATATACAAAGTAAAACATTTATACATGTACATAGACAAAAATCGGTGGATAGCCCAATTCAGCAGTGTTTATAGAACACTACTGTATTTCCCTGGGGTCCTTACACTACAATATTAACATAAAAGCGACATAAAGCAGAATAGAAACAAAACATGAATCATGAATCCGTGATTAATAGAGTGGACGATTGCCTAAATACCACCCCCCCCCAACCCCTTGGATTGACGCCCTCGTCAAATGTTCACAGTATACTGCTGCATATCTTGTTCAAACACAATTACCTAAGGAAGTATGTGATAACATAAACAACTTAGGAAGTCAAATTATCTTAACTCGGTCAACATTTAACAGGACGAATAAATGATTTGGCATACTATGAAATAAAGTTCTACTTTAATAATTAATTCAATTAAAGATTCCAATCTCTATCGGATATTCAAACGAGGAATGGCAGATCTGGTGCTCCAGAAAATGAGTGCAAGAATCAATTCGTAAATAGATGTCTGAGACAACAAAAGCACAGAGAACTCGTCGTGACATCGAAGATCATCACACGTTTAGAATCTTAGCAAACATGTTGAGCGTATGGTTACCATGGTAGCTTGTTCATAACTGCTTCGTCTCCTCCAAAATGGTACTACTTTATGTGTAATAATAATAATAAATAATAAAAACGTTACTTATAAAGCGCTTACCACCGAAGTCTCTAAGCGGTAAAAATTCAATCACTGCCGGGACTCGAACCCGGAACCTTTGAATTAGAAGTCCAATGCGCTAATCCATTGCGCCACAGTGACATCCGTGACAATTGATAAGTGTAATTGTCATTTTCTCAAACCTAAATTAGTTGTCGATCAATTACGATGCCTTACATCAGAGACGGGCACAGGTGTTAGGCCGGGCATACTTTCGCCGGTGGAGAGGTGGGAGGGTAGCTGTCGTCACTTACCCGAATATCAACTTTCCAGTTAAAATGTTAGCACTTTATTTTACGGTGGAATATAATTTGTTATCTAAAAATATATACTATAAAATAATACAGAATATTTCTCGCTGGTAAAAATCAAATAGGAGAAGACAATTTCCCGATTGTCAGATGACGATTGCCTGGATATTAGCGTTTTCAATGTTCGGGGCATCAGCCCCCCTTTCCCCCAACCCCCTCCTCAAACCTCGTTACGCCTTTTAAGACGGACCTCTTACGTCACCTTCCAAAGACCTGTGGGCGTTTCACAAAAACTTGTCATCAGCGACAAATGGAATCCTTGCTTCTGATTGATTATCAACAGATTTGTCACTGATTTTTGTCATATTTTGTCATTGAAAAAAAAGGCTTTGTGAAACGGGTCCCAGAGGCAGGGGCGTAGACAACGGGGGGATGAGGGGGATGCATCCCCCCCCCCAACCTCACAAGGTGGGGGGGGGGGATGGCATGTACAATCATCCCCCAGGTTTTGGGGAATGATATTTGCTTACTTAATAAGTCATAATGATGATAATAATAGTAATAATAATAATGATAACAATTATAATATTAATAATAATAATTATGATGATGATAATAATAATCCTCATCATTATTGTAATTGTGTTTATTGTTAGCCGCATTCACACGGTGAAAGCCAATTCTAAAACAGAATAGAAAATGAATGTGATACAACAGTATACATAATAATTCGTGACAGAGAGTACCATACTACTATCTTTATAACAAGTATTATTCAAACAAACATATATAATTATGTATAATCATGAATTATTCAACTTCATGCTCCCACTATATGACTATTGTTACACTAATACTGATATCAGGACTGACTGGTATACATTAGTTTGTTGTTAAGCTTGCAGCAGCTACATCTTTTCTGCATTGTTAACTATTTATTTATTTTTGTTTTATTTAAGATGCACTTTGTTTTGTATTCATTTAAAGTATGTTGATTGATGCATGAAGACATAAGTTTGTAATGTTTAAAGAAGTTTGTTTCATGTAAAGCGCAGTGCGAATTTACCCTGTCTTGAAATGCGAGATAAAAGGAACCTATTAGTATTAGCATTATTATTTGTATTAGTATTATTTTTTATTTGTATTATTATTATTATCATTATTATTATTATTATTATTATTATTATTATTATTATTATTATTAGTACTATTACTATTATAAGACTGAGATCAAATGGAAGTAAATAATGCCCTAATTTGAAACGATGCAATGCCGTTATGGTTCCGATTTCTTCACAAACTTACAAAGCAGTATTGTTACTCCATAGATCATAGTGATACTGTTTATGTTTTTTGTATCTGTATGTTAATGAGCCGCCAGCCAATATCCATCTATGGATACTATGCCTGTTTCTTTGAGGTAAAAAAAAAGCATAGTATGTACGTATTCATTATGCTTTATAATAAACAGATATATTGTTCAAAGTTTAATCGTTATTTGTTTGTTGTTTATGTGTTCTATTCACAAATGGCCACAGAGGCTGTTTTCATTCATAACCAAATACCCCTATCAAGACAACAAAGACTATACCTGCGTGTACACAGTTGACATTGGTTTTTTTTCTGAAGAGGTGTAACAGCAAAATTCACAGAGATAAATAAATACGTAGTGTGGTTCAATATGCAATACTATGTGTCAGTCCATTCTGTATTCGTATGCCACGGTGTGTAGATCTTGTCCGAGTATGTGTGTGTGTGTGTTATTTTACCTCATTAAGTATGCATCAGATTGCACGATTTCAAGTTCAAAATTGCAAAAGCTCCCTACCGTGGGAGGGGGGGACACCCCCTCCCACACCCTCCCCCCGCTCGGGCACTTCGCGCCCTCACTAGCGTTGGCAGCCCAGTCATCCCCCCCCCCCAGGTGTACGAACCTGTCTACGCCACTGCCCAGAGGGTTGCCATTACAACAAAATCCTCAAGAGCCATTACTTTCCTTCTTTTCCTATTCTTTTCTTTTCTTTTTCTGTTGAGAGGGTGTGTGTGTGTGTGTGTGTGTGGGGGGGGGGGTCAGGGCTTTAAATATTACCTCTATCGCCAAGGGGATCCAGACCTCCTTGAGGTGTTCGAAGGTGTCTTTCCTTGTGACGTCAAAGACCAGGACCACGCCCATGGCCCTGCGGTAGTACTGGGAGGTGATGGCGTGGTACCTCTCTTGGCCCGTCGTGTCCCATAGCTGGAGTCGCACCTTGGTGGCCCCGCGCAACCTCAGCCTGGCTATGCTAAAATCGACACCTTCGAAACAAACGGAGAGATATGAGGTCGTAATGAATGTTACAATAATTATATAATTACGATTATCGGCACATGATGTCTGACAAAGCATAATATAAGGGGGCCAACAGCACACAATAATGACAGTAGGGACTTTTAGATACTGGGTATTTCAGAGTGTAGGGAGGGAAAAGGCTCATGTTCCACGTTCGTAAAGACTTTCGAAATATCAACTCAAGGGCAATTTCGATGCCAGTATTCCCCGATGTCTATACCCCCCCCGGACCTCCTTGTCTAGGGCGAGGCTACGCCATTGATTATCATACAGGCCTACAAAAAATTATATGGATACTAGTACAGCTCAAATATCATCTGCACGTCAAACAATTACCTATTGAATTTCATGCATCTACATGTAGTCCATATGCTTTCATTAGGGGAAAAAACACTAAAAACTATGCGCAAATATTGATTGAAAATTTGAAATTCCATTTTTCAAGAGTAAACAAGAACAAGAATAGTAGGCTCTGTTTGTAGAGAGGTAATCAAACAAACGATTGTTTATTAAAAATTTTCCTGGTCAGATAAGCAAACAAAGAACGACCCCACATTGTGAAATAACAAAAGTTCGATGCAAAGGGAAAGCCAAAGGAATACAGGTCTATTCATATACTATAACTGGTCTATTCAAATAATATTGGGGGCACCATTATGAAATAAGGTTGGTGACGAAAATGGAAAAGAATATACTTGACAATTTCAAAATATTTCAAGTGACTTAAGAAACCAGGATTTTACATCATAATTAAACAAATTTCTGTTAAAGCGTTAAACGAGACACAGCGTATGACACACATGCATCATGCTACGATAAGCATACATGTACATTTAAAGGTAACTCTGTGTGCAAGCAATGCAAATTATGTCGGGGATCATATATTTCACTTTAAAAAAATAAATAAATAAAATAATGATAATAATAAAACGTGACGGTTGCACCTCTTAATGCGTTCTGAAATGTAGTGGCCAATTAATTGATGTAGTGTAGTGTAGTGTACTCAATCCTCTCAGAAAAGCATCACGATTTGTTAACAACATTCTGCAATCTTTTGAGTTGTCATGATGGTGTATGGTCTCTATTCTTGTTATATAATAGGGATGGAATTGGACCGTGAAACCATGTCTTTTCAAATGTGAGGATTATCACGCTTGAAGAGTTTAATCGTGGGAATATGAACCTTTTATTAGCAGTTGCATGCTAACAGGATAATGCCACTGTGAAGAAAACACAAAAAGGGCTAGTTTCAAAGGAGAATTGTATGGTTGATTTGTTACTGGGGGAATTTAGACGATAATTGAATGGATCACGACCGCTATGTAATGTATCGGTGGACCTATGATTCTCTAACAGAAGTCGCTGACAAGGAAGTAAATAAATTGATCGCATATGATTATGAGAGTACATACGTCTCCAAATATCTTTCACAAGAAAATTTGTATAATGGTGAGGGTGGTGGGGGTGATGGCGGGAGGGTGGTGGGGGTGATGGCGGGAGGGTGGTGGGGGTGATGGCGGGAGGGTGGTGGGGTGATGGCGGGGTGGTGGTGGTGGTGGGTGGGGTGATGGCGGGGTGGTGGTGGTGGTGGGGTGATGGTGGGTGATGGTGGGGTTGGGGTGATGGTGTTGGTAATGATGGTGGTGGTGGTGGTGGTGAAGATGATAGTGAAGTTAATGACGGTGGTGGTGGTGGTGATGGTGGTGATGATGGTGGTGGTGGTGGTGGTGGTGGTGGTGGTGTTGATGTTGATGATGGTGGTAGCGGTGTTGGTGGTGATGGTGATATAGTGGGGGTGGTGGTGGTGGTGTTGATGGTGGTGGTGATGATGATGATGATGATGGTGGTGGTATCGGTTGAGATGATGGTGATAGTAGTAGTGGTGGTGGTGGTGGTAGTGGTAGTGGTGGTGGTGGTGGTGTTGGTGGTGGTGGTGGTGGTGGTAGCGGTAGTGGTGGTGGTTGAGGTACTGGTGGTGGTGGTGGTGGTGGTAATAATGACAGTATCTCCGTAGTAAGTTGACAAAAATAACAGTTGTAATAATGAATATTCCCGCTTACCTGTAGTTACAATGGGTGCATCATCAAAGGTCCCTTCTGCACAGCGAGTTACCAGAGAGGACTTTCCCGTCGCGATATCTCCTATCAAAATGGCGGACAGGAGCAAATCATCAAACATAGCAGCCATGTCCCAGCAAGGGAACCGAGAAAACACCAAACTATCAGCGCCTGGTCATAGTCCGATACATCCAAAACGATGTCAGGGTTAACCAACCTTCTATAAAATGATATCCACTCTTTAAAGTTGTATCGGTGATGACACAGTCAAAGCGACTAGAGATTATTCTGCCGAGGGCAAAATAGAGGTGTAAAGAATAAACGAACATTCATGTTATCACGATGACATCGACTCTTCTATTTGATCGCCATGTTCTGTGTTTGTGTGCTATTCTACTCGACTCGATGCAAATTGTATACAAAATGCGGAGGTGCGCTTTAAAGCCGAATGATCAATATTGATATGACAAAACAAAACCTTGATAAAGAATAGATACGAATGGCGTGCCCTGTCGTTCATGTAATCTCCATGCGTAGGTCTGTCTGAAAAAAAAATTGAAACTGCTAGCAGACGACACTACGAAATGCCGCGAAAGGGCGTGACGGTTGCGGCGTCGAAATTTTCCGAACTTATCAAGGTCATTATTCGGTATTGACTATTGTGGCTATTCGGTTAGATGACCCGATCTTTGCCAATACTAGTCGTAATTGGCCTTGAAGTAAATACAAATGAACTTGTTTAAACTTGGATGGTGGCAAAGGTGAGCTTTAAAGGGAAGCAAAATGCAAAAATAATATCAACGTGGTCCGAATAGCCTTGAAGATGCTCACAATTCATAAAAGTTTCTGGAACGGTCTTAATTGTTGCACGTCAAGTGCTTCGTATATGGAGTAGATGACGTGTCTCATGGATGAGATCATTATCACGTTCTTAACACACCTTTATGACGTCAACTCCTGATTTTGTATCCTTCTTTTGAATCGAGATATGAGACTTGGCGATGACTGTCACATGAAAGAAAACACAAGTTTTGTCCTTCGCACGACGTTAACCTGGTTTAAGAGTTCTTTTTGTTTATTCCGAACTCGATATACTTTTCACCATCACGACCATGCAGCTACGCTAAGTTGTTGCCTCCTTCAAGTGTTACGAGCTTATTCACTTGAAGTTTATAAAATCGTTTCATCGAAGAAGTCTACATAGAGTAGATGTTTGCCGCGTATGTGATGATTATTGTGTTTGTACTTCCAAAAGAATCTGCAAAGAGAAGAAAAACAGAAGAAAAAAATGAAGTTACAAGACAGTATGAAACAACAAAAAATCTGACAAAACTACATGTACTAGGCGTGATTTTTCAAGTTTAGAAAGTCCCCGCTGATACCAAATAACTTCCCTAATCAGGACACTCACAAACATATACGTGACATTAATCGTTACGTGATGGTATTAATATTATGCATACACCCGTACTAATATTGAAGAACAACGCGATTAATTGCCTTCTTAAATACATAAAACAATATAATTCAGTCTTACCAGCTGTTTTAATTTTCTGATCATACTTTCTCATCGTTCTAAGAACAGCGAAGAATGTGTAAACACTTTTCAGAGAACATCGGCTGATAGGGAAGGTCCATGTATAGTTTCACAATGCCAGGAGTATTTCATTTTTCCTGCTTATTATAACAAAACCTTTGAATAATGACCATTAAGGTATCGAAAAATGCATCACACTCATTCAGGTAGTAACGTTTCATGAGTGTTCTGCCCTTAACCCTTCGCAACCCGCGTAAGACAGGACTTCCTTCCACCGAGGCGGTGCTAACTGTAATGTTCCTTTCTAATTCGTCTGAATGAATCATCTCTCCTCTTTTCGGAAAGCCCTGTTTAGGAAAACGGATAGACGAAGAATAATTTGAAGAGGGGAATAAGATTAAGTTTATTCCATGAGATGAATAAAAGATCATGATTTTTATATTCAATGGGTCAGGGGCCTTGAAACTGAATGGCAGCGGAAAGTAATTCGTGACGTATTATTAAGCAGTTATAAAAAGGAAATGATTCGGGATCTGCTATTTGCTTACAATGGTTACTTGTCGATTATTTTAATGTAGTTTGTACTGTCATTGTCGATCGTTTCTCTCTCTCTCTCTCTCTTTTTCTCTCCGTCTTTCTGTCCTTCTCTCCGCCCCCCTCTCTCTCTCTCTCTCTCTCTCTCTCTCTATCGTTTGATATAATATGTATATCTATCTACCAAGAAAGATAGAATATGAATTGTATATAATTATGTATAGTATACATACATTCCATACTCACACATATAATCATGCAGTATGTAATCTGTTTTTCCGTTCATTATATTTTTTTTTTACAGTGACCTGTCAAAGATCATTTTTTTGATCGATTTGTTTTCGTCCCACATTGTACTCCGAAAGCCTTCATAATTGATCACGTGGTTTACAGTCACTCATATGCTATTCTTTTATATATTTATTTTTAGCGTATGATCTAGGAATAATAAATTCTGCTGTAAATATGCGGGTAGGCTTTTTAGACAGTGGAAGAAATTGAATTAAGCAAATTAACAGGTCTCCTGAAAACATAACAGAGGAAAGTGGAAAGGGAGAGGGTTCCACACTCAATACAGTTTAAAGTCATCTTCTTTTTTTTCTGTATTTGTTTTCTTTTCCTCTTTTCATTCTCGTCCACTTTATTCTTCTCCTTTGGCAGCTTTTCCTTTACTTTTTTAAAATACTTTTCTTCCCTTTTCCTCCTTTTTTCCTTCTTCTTCTTAGTATTATTATCATTACCATTATCATCATTATCGTCTTCGCCATCGTCATCATTATTATCGTCATTATTATGGTCATTATATATAAAATATAATATCCCTTAAAATGCACTGTGGTGGGGCTAGCAAATAGACGCTATATTTAGATATTTTAAGTACCATGTTAGGTTAAAAGTAATATGCACTTACACATTTGCGCGATCTGAATACCTTGAAAGCCACTATATGATATTGCTGAATAAAGTAAATTAAGACCCTATCATTTAGGTCAAAATTTTTTCGAGACATTTCTGAGATTTGTTATTACCTACCCGTATATATGAGGACGATTCGTGCTCGTTGTGCACAATAATATATAGGACTTCAAATCACCTATTTAGAATCTATTATCAGCAAATATATCCGATATTTCGGGAATTAGGGCTAAATTTTTCACGAAAGTTCATGTAACCCGAGTACGCGAAGACCCAATGGAACGAAGTAAGTCCAATTCTATTATGCTAGACTGAACAGTGGCGTGGCGTAGATCCAACCATTGGAGGGGCACTCGTATTACTTGCTGATTAAAATGCTTGTCTTAAAAATGCAATCGCATGGGGTATGGAGGGGGTGTATTTTCTTCTTTTTAAGTTCATCACCCCCTCCCTATGTTGTGCCGCTTCGATTGGGACACATGCCCCTGCCCCCCCCCCCCCCCCCCCCGGAGCGTACTTCCGCAACTGACCGAAACTTTAGATGAGCTTTAAATTTTTACTAGATTAGTATAACGGATGCACGGACATAGATACCATACCTCTAAATGTTTTCCCATGGTTTTACAACACTATAAAACCCTTTAATCTTTTTGGCTATCAATATACTTAGCTATCTTTATAAGGCTTGCTTTGCTGAACAAAATACATTTGAATGGGACTAACTGAAACAATTAAAAACATTCAAACAACTACTCCGCTACTATACGCTATTTTATGGCTTCCCAGATTATGACAACTATCTTCAAGTCATGTCATAATACGGTTAATAGTGTTTCCCCAAGTCAGCACGAGATAAATTTGTATCGACATATTGTTACAAAAGAAAAGAGGTCCTTGTTTTCTTGTAAGGAACACGTCACTACGTAAATGTATAACTACATTGAATTTTTCATTTTTTTCATTTCGGAAGAGGTTGACTATTCCAGTAGCCCCCAAATTATGCACACCACCTTAGTTTAACGGATTATTTTGTTTGTTTGTTTGTTGTTGTTGTTGTTGTTGTTGTTGTTGTTGTTGTTGTTGTTTTTTTTTTTTTTTGGGGGGGGGGGGGCGTCCGCTATTTTTTTTTCTTGTCCCAATTTCCCATTATTTTCTTCATCTGCTTATAGTAAATCTTATTCCCCAACGCCTCTGCACTTATGTCATGGTTATAACCATGCCATTTTTTGCCTTCAAGCGAATTTTTTTTTTTTTTGCATCAATAATAATTATTATGATAAGTAATAGGCCCTATTTATTTCCTTCTTATTTTGCTCCCACTTGTTCTCTTCCCCTATATGCATGGAATTAAAAACCAACCGAGCATGTTTTATACCATGCTGAAGATGTGAAGAAGATGATAAATCGTTTGTGGCACAGTGAGGGGTATATCAATGGTTTTGTGAACGGGCATCTCCAAAAATGGGATGTCACATTTTAGGTGCTGTTAACGTCTTGAATTTGACAGAGGACACAAGTACACAATTAGGGGACACATATTTTGTCAAACGTTGGTATGCCAGTTATACATTTTTTAAAGATATTGGTTGTGTCGACCCGCCCCCCCCCCCCCCAACTAAGTAAATTCGCCACTGACATAACGGAACACATTTAGTAGACATGGTAGATGGTGGTATATGAATGAACACATCTCTAATTAACACCACTTATCTATAGACCCTTGTTGGTTGCCATAGTAAGGTAGTAACGGACAACATTCCTAGTTGCCAACACCTCTGGATATGGGCGTGGCGAACAAGAGGGTTCAAGACCTTCTTACAAACATCATGTCTACAGTTCACCAATGTTAAACCTATCCCATGGCATCATCTTACATTATGGGATATGGAACAAAATTTTTGTGGAGTTCTGTTGTTATTATGTGTAAAAGAATAACATTTTCGGCGAGGAGTTTACTCGTAATTCCGTCAAAGCTTGTCCATTAACTCCTGCAAAGTGTATTATTTTGTCACGCTTCTTTTACATATTACTTATAATGATATGAAAACGATATACATTTCGTTGTACGAGTATGATGTCTGTATTTATATAGGTCTATATTCTGAATGATTTTGTCATGACTGTTTTATAATTTTATACACTGACACTGTCATAATATATCTATATTAAAGCTAGCAATGCATTAAGCTTTTGTTTAATATATGTACGGCTTTGATTTGGGGCAAGCCTAAGATATACCCCAAACGTTACCAATTATTGTAGGGTATATATTAATTATTATGGAAATGTGAACATAATTGTTTGTCTGATTCAAGCTCTATGGTAGGGGTATTTACGTATGGCACAAAATAGGTTGGACATGCCCTTTTCCCTATAACCTACTCTCTAAAAAAAATCGAGTGATCACGGACGTCACTCCTCTGGAGAGTGAAAATGTAGTGAAAATAGAGTGAACATTCACTCTTTTCTTCTTAGAGAGCACTCTAAAATCAATCGATTTTTCACTCCTAAACAAGTGATCACTCCCAAGAAAGTGAAAATAGAGTGAAAATTCACTCTTTTTTTTAAAGAGAGTATTTCCTGTTGACCTACAGTACTGTATAATGATTTTCATTATTAAACTAGACATCCTCGTGTGATAAGATACTTCTTTGTGAATCATTTGTATTTGTTAATGATCGAATGAATGGAAAGACATACACATTGTCGGCTAGAATGATAAATCCTTATGGAAACATGATCTTGTGTATCATTGCAAGAAATTGATCGCAAAAATACCAGCAAAACAATGAAAGAAATTATAGCTGTAGGTTGCGTGACGTACGACACTGGCCTTATGCATGCATGTGTATTAATACCAGTTGTATTTGACATTTGGTTATGGCTGAACACAGGTTACTAACTCTAATATTGAATAAGGTAAGATATGGATATTAGTATTCATAGAAGTTATGGTACCATGCGGTGTTGTATAAATAGTTATCAAACCACAATATGGGATCGGTAAAATAATGCTGTATAACCATTGGTATTATAAACTCTTTCTATTGGCAAAACTCGAATACGCTCATTGTCAAGTCACAGTTAGGCTTCGGCAGTCACTTGAGGGGGGCACTGAGCATCATTGGGAGGAATGATGTTACTGTTAGGTGGATTATGCAAATAACCAAAGCTATCGAATAGGGGTAGGGTATGGGAAGGGTCATATTGTCTTCTTTTCAGCCCCCTCCCTAATCCATTCATTGCTCTCCTTTTCTCTTTGTGGTTTCTTCTCTCTTTTTGAAAAAAAGAGAGAAGTTCTTTCTTGGAGCCATGGGAAGGGGTGCGTATACCTCTAGCTACACCACTGGTTACTATCCATTATGTTTTCAACTTTTAAAAAGCCCTTACATTACAAGAAATCCCATCTCCATTCTCCATAGCCACAATTATATACTAGATTTCACCATTAACATGATTAAAATCTAGGCAATTTGTACAACATTTTACTATTATTTTTTTCAATGTGCAAACACTACGATTTTTATATTACATAAGCCAAACATGATTTCTATGAAAGTTCATTTCTTGCAAGTCTTTACAATCGTGTCGATAATATCTACTTTAGTGGGAGCAATACATACACTTCACCCTTCTAGCGTCGGTGACACAATTTGTCGAAATATCACATAACTATTTTTAAAGTAATAATATTTCTGATGCTGTATATCAATGTATTTCCGTGTAATTTTACTGTCAGTTGGTCATCATCCTACATAGCCACAAGCAGCCCACAAGCATGAGGCCTTTATTTACTAACTTTTATATAATTTACTAGCACCATTTTTCTTCATCTATAGCCTGTCATTGTTAGTAGGTTTCACACATGGATTTGATGGATATGTACATTTCGCCCAATTCCGTCAGGTGTCCAACAACTCGCGTCCTTGATATAAAACATCGAAATATGACAAAATCCTTTCAAAATTACTAATATGTATTTGACTCACCTCCGTGTATTCCTGTGCAGTCCTCTGCTCTGTTAGTTAGTCCTCGTTACAGCACTATAATTATGATAATAATAGTAATAATATCTACTTCAACGTAGTCTGTTGGTGCACTCCATGTGTGAGAAGTGAAATACTAGATCACACTCAATGGTTTGATTATGACAGGGGATAGGATAATGGCATTTCGTCTGACCTCGGTGCACCGCGTCTAGTTTGCATTTCCAAACCCTACCTTTCAAGTGTCGCAGGGGTTCAAAATACAATTTTCATGCACAGGGGTTTAATTTGGAGAGATGCCCTAGGAGGGCGTGAGCAGAAGTTCATGATTTTACATCTGTGATCCTATGATATTACCTTATTTGGCCCCACCCCACCTCATACACACACACTTTTTAGTAGTTTTTTTCATCATCTTTTTAATCTGTAAATTAGTGTCGATTGATTGTTACTTATTGCAGTTTCATTAATGTTACTTAATTATTATATTTCATTTTCATTTTTCATTATCATGTTATTGTTATTTATTAATAGTTAAGTAATTCGTCCAAATTAAGCGCAATGTTCATTTCACGTTTCTTGTTGATCCTCTTGATATAATTATCCAGTTTAACTGTAATTTTCATTTCATGTGTTTTGTAAAGCGCTAAGAAACTGTATTTATATACCAGCGCTATATAAATCTTAGATATTATTATTATTATTATTTTATTGTTATGTTGGATTTTCTTTGCCTATCTCGTAAAACCTTGTTTTGCTCGTACTTTATTCTGTTTTGCACTGTGTGTTAAACAAAAATTGATGCCTTGTTTCATCTTTCAAAATTACTAATGTCAATTTTTTCACGTGCTTTAATGAGTACAACATTTCTTTTACACATGTTTAGGCATCCTTGACTCTAACTATAAAAGTATTAATGTCTCAGCATTTATGCTCGGTTGCCGTGCTCGCTCGCTTAATAATTATTATGGACCATAAAAATCCACAGAGGCATGCCACGAAGGATTTATTCAAATGTTGATTATTAAGCATCGGGATACAAGGGTTACATTAATAAAGTACTTATATCACTGCAATATTATGGTAGGACATTAATTTTGTGGAAACATACTGAAAATTAGGTTCATAATTATATGCAAATCAAAATTATTTTTATTTTCAATTTGAATTTGTATTTGGCAAGAGACAGCTCCTTCACCGACGACAATGAGAGCTTGCTTTCATTTATTACCTGATTAATGTATTTATTCATTTATTTATTTATTTATTTATTTATTCATAATTTAGTGTTTATTCATTCACTTATTAATTGATTGATTGACTTATCATACAGTGTAGCCATTTCAATATCGGGGATCGATCTTCCAAGGAGCCTTGTCTGTACAATAAAAAATTGTAACAATTACATAGGCACCGGCTCTTACTATTTGGTATTCATGTTCGAAAAATGTCAAAGTATAATTTTACTATCACATGCTTTTATGCAAATTCCATGTTTCAGTGCAATATGTTATGGAATATATCTTTCACATTATGTAGTATACATACACATTATTTTTATTTCAAACAAGTTACCAGGAACTGTTTTGTTTTCCCCTTGATTTCGCAAAATAAAGGTGACATTGGAGGGAAATGTTCCCCGACTTCCAGGAAATTAAAGAAGATTGAAAATTAAACTCGTTAATCTCCTACAATTCATTTTGAGTTTGTTTGTGTAGACTACTGTGTTTAAATCCATGTATCATTGCAAGGAGTGTCCTAATCGGGAGCCACGGGTCAATACGCATCTATTCAAATTCAGATTTGCATAAGAATAAAAACAGACGGCTTTCCTTTCGCTTTGATTGACTTTTGTGTCAACCGTCTGGTTTAAAAAATACATGAATGGCCCAGATTGATGACACAGAAGCTGTCTATTCATCCGTTTCATGTCGGGTACACAACCTTAAAGCTTCTTGTGAGACGGGGTTAAACTTAATTAAAAGAGTGCTTTCGCGGGAAATGGACATACCAGATAATACAAGAACGACTCACTAGCAAAATTAAGGAGAAAATTGAAGGGCAAAGATCAAAAATATATTGTGAGCATTCTCGTTCTTTTTACGTCAGTTTGGAACAACATCTTACTAAAGAGTCCCTTCAAGGATTGTTCTTTTATTGCCCTCATATTATCTCTCTCTCTCTCTCTCTCTCTCTCTCTCTCTCTCCCTCTCTCTCTCTCTCTCTCTCTCTCTCTCTCTCTCTCTCTCTCTCTCCCTTTCCATTTCTCTCGACTTAATTAATTATAAGAAAAAAGAACGATGGTAACCATGTTTTGGGGATCCAAATTACCATCCACCATAGTATCAAACAATGAAATTCGATAAAATTATCATGGTTTTATACCATGGTGGACAAAAAAAATTTGGACAAAAAAAAAACGTGGTTGTAACCATGTTTCTTTTTTTAAAAGGATCTCTCTCTCTCTCTCTCTCTCTCTCCCTCCCTCACACTCTCCGTCCATCTTTTCCTATTTTGTTCATGTTTATCTCTCTCTCTCTGATCTGCAGCTCTCTATGGATATCTCCTCTCTCACTGTCTTTCGTATCTCCCCGTCCTAACCCATCCTTTTCTTCCCATCCCCCTTTTTTGTAATGGCACTATGAAGTACTTTCCTTTACTATTCTAGTTATTACTCTATCTCACATACGAGAGACAATCACAAGATCTTTAAAGCCCCACTGCCCTACTTGTAGCTACTTGCTCCCTCTATATATATAGAAAACTTCTCCAATCGGTGCCTGTTGGTCCCCCATGATCCTCTTTTTCTTATGTTAATTGAGAGCCGAGTTAATGAGATAGCCACCTACCAGTGACCTCGCTGTTTGGTCTAATCCCCTCTGGACCAGTAGTATTGACGGTCTTTAAAGGAATCAACTCTAGGGCAATTTTAATACCCCCCCCCCCTCTATCGCCTGTAGGATCCTGTTCGGATTATAAAAGATGTCACTCGAATATTCATAAATTTAAAGGTACTATGTCCCATTTGCAGGCCAAAAAAATGAAAAGGTTAAATTCCAACTGCATTTGAAAGATAATACTAATTTAGAACTTCCCTAAAAAAGGTGGGTCTTGAAAATGTCTTCAAGTGGGAAAATAACGACTATTAGTTGTCAAATCGACTTTAGAGCTATAGAGCCCAACTCTTTTCATGTATGTTATTACCAAAGAAGAAAAAAAGCCAGTCAGTCACTCAATAGTGTCTGACAGTGAATTCTAGCAAGTAAACGGGTTTCCTTGCATAATTTGAATATGAGGACACTGCTAACGTTTAAATTTCACAGATAGGACATACATGACATATTCATAATTCCTGCAAAGTTCTACAGCATTTGAGGTTGGCTGCAAAAGGGAGATAGTACCTTTAAGTGCCTCATTACAAGTTATAGTGATTCATTCACCTGTTACAAATAATTGTAATTCAGTAGTCAGAATTACAATTGCATTCATTAATTGTTTTTATGTAGGGCAATCAATTCACATTCTGACTATTGAAATACAAATAATCGTAACAGGTGAATGAAATAATTCGTACCGAGGATTTTTGTTTTAAATTTGATTATATTATGATGATGGCTATCCTTCCTGATCCCCTGACAAACAGTACATTACATACACAATTAATACAAAATCACTTAGAACATCACACAGTCCATACAAAATCAGTTTTTTATAATTTCAGCATTATTTTTCTCTTTAATATAACCAATGTACAAGTGTATAATGCTTACAATTTTTTGTGTACCTCAATGAACATAGATTTCCTTTATTCCACAAATAATGGGCACTCCCTCAATTTTTTTTCACCATTTCATTCAATTCTTACGATGCCATCTACATACACCTAGGATCAATTCATAGTGCTTCATGAAATTTATCTCAAAGTTGTTTTGTCCCCCTCTAAAACATGACTACTACATTGTATTTTACTCTACAGATGGTTTACGCTGTGTGGATGCACTGAAGGAAACTTTAAAATAATCATTATATGATGCATGTTTTGAAGATATAAACATATTATTTTGCAAATGAACCATTCCACAGGCTATATTCCTAATGAAATACGATTAACACTTCCGTTTACGGGAAACGACACATTTTTTTAAACACTGCAATCACAGATCTTATGTACTTTAGTTGAGTTTGAGCGGGTGCCTTGAAATTGCATTATGGAAGTGCCTGGCAAAGAAAAAATGAAAGAGAAAAGGTCTCAAATATCTTTAATTCTTGTAACTCAAGGACTATTGTACATTTCACATAATTTATCTATGCTTCTCCAGCGTTAAAACTATCTTTAGAATTAGTGATTTTTCTTTCGATAAAGAATCTTGCAATTCAGACATTTTGTTTCAATCTTGCCCAATTCGGCAATAGTTGTGAATATTATGATTTTCATTATCAATGACTTTTACCAGTGCGAAAATTGCAATCAGTTAGCTGACAATGTTTGATAACGATGATCACGACAGCCTAATTTACAGACTGAAAAAGTTTTTTAAAATTTATTTCCAATTAAAAATGAGTTGAAAGGGTCTGGAGAACACAAACTACACCCTGCTCTACACATGCCCATATGAAGACAGGGAAAGAGAAGGGTTAGTCTAAATATGTATATAGTCCAGACCCAATTAAGCTCATTTTCATTAGATGAAAATACCCGCACATCTCAATCAATTAATAGTATTACGAAGGCGAGTATCCATCACAGAGATTAAGGTTGCTCTTACTGTCAAATAATTAATCAATTAAAAAATACAAAAGTCTCTTTCTCTGGAGGCTGAGCTACGGTTACTACCACTTCAAAAACACAAAAAACAGAATAAATTCGCCCCATCATTTCCTATGCATTTCACTATGGTCCTTAGTATGTACATAAACATACAATTAAAGAAACAAGACATACATATTGGTAATGCAAGTTAATCATTTGGAGCAGAATACACAAAAATTACTACAATTGCTAGCCTGTGGAATGGTCCTTTTCAGCTCTTCATTTTCACAAATTATTTAAAGATATCTACTAATAACATTACATGATATGCATTTATTTTATCCACTCTCCCTCTCTCTCTCTCCATACACATTTTTGTTTACAAGTAGTCAATTTCATATTCTATGCTAAACACCTACAATATCTACTGTATTCATGTGGTATTTTTTGTTAGTTGTTTCTGAAGACACTATTATACGATAACCCCAGCTTTGGGGTTGGTTTATCAGATCGTCCTTGTTTTCACGAAGTGACGGTAGTGAGGAAAATCGTAACGCAAAGTGAATGCAATTTGTTTTCACTACCGTCACTTCGTGAAAACAGCGACGAGATGTGTGGCAAATTGTAGCATTTTTTTCCCTATACAATCTGTACAATAAAATTAAAGTGCACATGTAAGTACATGTAATAGTATGATGACATGGTTATTCAGAAAAACTTATGTGCATTCATAAATGCACATATGACAAGCTACGTTGAATTTCATTGCAATTGAGTCAATTTTACAGGCTCTAGTATTAGTGCTTAGCAAACGTACAAAATGACTACAAATACAGCGATTTTAGGCTTTTACACATTTGTAAAACGGCTTAGAACAATATTAATCGTACCTGATCATCTATGGCTTTGTATGCATTTGTTTTACTTTGGATTTGACAAAGATAGAAGCAGGAAAACATACTGTTAATTGAAACCTATATAGGTACAATGTATATGCAATTGCATGCTACCATATTCCTCTATCGTTTGTAAATTTGCATTTGAGCATGCTACAACACCATAGCTTCATATCTTTTGTTGATTATCCCCATTTGGTCACCTGTATCGATGTTGCCATAACAGATAAACCTCCCGCAACTATCAAGGAACATTGAGCGACATATCTCATAACCATCAGACTTGTGTTTATCAAAGGAAATACTTCATTATAACTTGTCTTTACTAATTCAGTTGTTAAATCTCATTATTGTTATTTTACCATTACCAATCCCATTGCTATGCATAGATATTTGCCCTTTATCCATTTGTTATTTAACCCTACAACCTCGTTCACATTTGATGCAATAAGCCACCTCAAAAAACAGCTGCAACAAATGGCATATTTCTCCATGATTTAAAAAAGCGTTAACTTCCAGACTTGTCCAGATAAGCACAAGTCACTTAGATCTCAGCAAGGCATTTGTTGCGCACAGCTTTTCTACCCTCAATTGCTATTCATTTGCATGTAAAATGATTTATACTTGCCGCAGCAGCGCTTTGACCCAGTCTAACCCATCACGTGTGAACAAGGCCCAAGCCCATTCCAAATACACATCATACAGAAATTAGATTAGTCCCACGTGGGTTCAGAAACTTGGCAAACTGCATTAACTTTTGTTCAAAGTCACTTGTACTGTACACGTATGCACCATTTATATTTTTTGACCCACCACTACTTATACACATACACCGATACACCTACATGCATTCTGTTGAGGAGTGGAATAATAATTGGAAAATAACTCAAGTGTACAATACATACATATATCATAATAATAATTAACTTAATTATAATTGCTTAAAATCATTCCATATATAGGCAAAGAGAAGGTATTTTGTACATAAATTCAGCTCTTTTTGAGGTTTTTCTTTTTTCATTTGTTTTTTGTTTGTTTGAGAACTACCTAACTACCACGTGTCGTGAAGACTGCCTTTCGACTTAGAAAAACAAATTTTCATACAGGTTAGAATTTCTATTTAGAGGGCCAACAAGTCTCTTAATGCACTACAGCTGGAAAACAGTAAATAATGGGCCAAATAAACTGTTATCAAAAAGAAAAATAATGAAGCATACATCGGCAAAGTTGATTATGGCTATTCACAAATTTCCTGTAGTTATGAATTCAATAAGTTGCCCCTGAATCTCAAACTTGAAACCCCTGTCAGTACATGTACTTACAGAAATGATCAACTATTTCAAGTTCCATTGATGATATAATGTCATTATTGCCTGTAATTTCTTTTAATATCTGAAATTCAGTTTAGTAATTAGATATATCGATAGTAAATAATTCTTCGATTTATATTACCAGATTTATGTTGCATGCCTTTGATAAGGGCATCACTGCATAAAAACAGATGTACATGTACTACTGCTAATTGATGTGCTCCCATTATTTGTATCATACACTATCCAATACTTTTACATCCTATTCTAGGGACATTGGTCATGTGAGTGCATTGCAATGGACTTACTTCTGCCACAAGTGGGCGCATTTACATTTGTGTGAATTTGTGAAGCTGAAGTGGGGAAGTTAGCATTTCTGTGTCATCATTGCCGGGGGAAGACTTTACACTACATCTAACATCGTGAGGCTTACATCTACATTGTGCAAAGCTCTGATTTATACGGAGGCTGATCATCGCATTGATTAGAATATTACACCTTGCACAATTCAAATCTTTAGTATTTATCACAACCACTACAGAGAGCCTATGTCTATCCTAGCGCTATTCTTTAGCTCCGTTCACACGTGGCCGAGTAAGCCGCCTCAAAAACGTCACTGCAGCAAAATGAAACGCCATAAGCACTGCATGCTTAACATTCCTGTATCTTAAAGCACATAAGGAAGCATGCACAGGGGCACATAGCTACTGTTTCTACATCCCTCATCGTAAATCATTTACATGTAAAATTCTTGCGCTTTGAAGCATGATTTAGTATTTTTGAGGCGGTTTAGAGCGTCCAGTATGAACGAAGCTTGACATGAAACCACAAGTACACTTTTATCAGCTTTGCCATAATGTTTACACGCTCCATAAGACACACAATGATAGTATTATTATATCATTATATCTTCATTAAATTCTTTGTTTTTTTCATCTATACAAAATCAGCTCATCTGTTCCCTCTCTAAGGTTTAAAAAAAAGAATCATAAGCAGTGTTCTAATTTCGTCAAACCCTACTTTTAAAATGATACAAAGTCAAACTAATGCACAGTAGAAAATCACTCATGCAAATAAAATAAAACAATAAATAACAGAAATTACGGCAAACAACACAAAAGGGAAATGAATTGCCACGGGTTTGTACACGTACCGACATTGCGACCATTGATCTACAATGATTTAAACTCAGAGATTGAGAAAATTTACGATCTTCTCAGACGCTCTGTCAATCGATTTGGTGATCGCATCATAACAGTAATGATAAGTACATTGTATCACTTTCCAATTGGTCCTTTTTTATGCAACTGCTCTTCAATTTCTTTCCTCTCTTCCTTTCTTTCCGACGATCTAGCTTCCAATGCAATGGAGAGAATCTTATGTTCAATACTCTCAAAACGGATTTATATCATTGCTTTAATAATGCACATTCAAAAAGTGTGAATTTGTTATTTTGGACTTTTGAAAGAAAAGCAAGGCAATTTACCTGGAGAGGACAATTTCTGTATCATTTTCCTTTGTATTGCATGATCTGAACAATATATCAATTAAAGAAGAAAATAGCCTGAATAACATTTCTTTTGTAAGTTGTTTGTCAACTCTAAGGACGAACTATTATTATTATTATTATTAATATCTATAGCAATTGAAATTCAGTAGGTACTTTAATAATTTAGCTGCTTGAACACCACATGAGGCAATTGAACTATAAAGAAATATATTGACCAAACATCTTAGACGCAATTTCGTCTTTCACTTGGTTTGCAAGATTCACGGTACATTAATGCAAATATATCAGAAATTGCCATGTACATACTGGTCTTGGTCTATCCAACTATCTTGAACATGTGTTCTTAGAATTACTTGTTGCTAGTTCAGGTAATCCTTTATCAGGGTTCTACAGAGACGTGCTCTAATTAAAATACAAGCGTGATAATCGATTTGACGTTAGAGCCATAAGGCTTTAAATCAGCATTTGCATTTTCAGCTGCTTATCTCAATCACTTTCGTAGGATTCTGTTAATTCGACGAGTCAACAATCTTACTCTACAATGCCTTACAAAATTCCATGAGATTTTCTTTTTAAGGTGAGCCATAAAAACTTGTGCAACTTATTACATGTGTATGGACAACTGTCATAGCTCAAAATTCTATTTGGTAGCATAACATGCCATTTCTGAGTTTGGAATTAAATTTTCATATCCTGAAGGGTTCCTTGCCAAATTAAGTTTGATTAAATAAATGAAAATATATATCCCTTTAATATGAGAGAAATTTCTGAACAGAAATTATTTATCATTAGGTGAAAGTTACTGATGAATATAATCATTAGTGTTATAATACAAATATAATTCAAATAAATTTATCCTTTCTTGCTGTTAAAGTGACACATGTAGATGTGTGTCAAGAGAAAGTGAGTTAAAATTCCATTACAAAGAGCCGGAGTGTTCATTTCATTAGTCGTTAAGACGGATAATCAATTCAAGCCTGCAAAACACAGCTGGCATCAAATTCCCTTTTGATAATTTCTACTAGGGTTCTCTATCTAAAAGCGCTGCTTGGTGCCCCTACGCTGGATCCCAAACAGGCCTTGGATATCATTCAGGTCTTCATCGACGGAAGGAAGAAATAAAAAATGAGATAAACAAGAGAGAATAGGAATATTTGTTATTATATTACAAAGAAAGCATCATCGTTGATTCAATAAAAAGTTCTTTGACGTGTGTCGCTCGGTCTTGTTTTACCACAATGCGAGGACATATTCATTGAAGCTAGATGAACAGGGGGTGAGGGGGGCGTCGAGTCGTCGGCTCCCCCTCGCTCTTAAGGACAACATTTCGATCCAGAACTGCTTCCCTCTTTCATATCGGGTTTGACGACGCCGGGTGAGCCTGTATCCCTCTGAGGGTACTGTAGGACAAAGAAAAGACAAGATAGAGACAGATGAACAAAATGTTAGATTGTTTCATCAAGAACATACAATTTTCTAGTTTTAAAATGATCTACAGACAGTTGCAATTAATACATGACTGTAATTCCTGAACTTCCGCGTTCAACACAATATCCCAAATCACACTTATCTTTTTGAGTGCATATCATATAACACTCATCAGTCATGATTTTTGACACTTTCAACAATAAGAATTGGTAAATATTTACTACATCCAAGGCAAATTTAATTTTATTCAGTAGTAAAAGATTGAGTATGCAACATATTTATCCTAAATGATGAACAGATATCTTTATTTTTAAAGATATCTGCTGCTAATGTAAAGATGGCCTATTCGGTGTCTCCACACCCTAAAGGGCTGAACACACCAGATGTGCTCTATATGGTGCATAGTCTGACTTGACTTTGTTTACCCTTGAGGTTCATGCATGCAAAACCTGTCATAAGAAGACAATACAGAGGTTTCCGCATTCAGTTTATCCAGCCTTTTAAGAGCCAGTTCCACCTTAACAATAACGATAGCAATGAATTGTTCGCTTGCAGTTCATATGAAAAAAGCCACTGGAAATCATTGTTGTGTGTACCACCTCATTGATTCCTGATAATGAGCCCAATAAATAACCCTTTTGGGGAACGCTCTACTGGCCATTTCCTTATGGCAAGTACAAATATCAATATCTGCAAGCCAAACGGATTCACTTTTTTTCTTGCAACAGCCAATTTCAACTATGTTTGATTGACAGAGCCAACAATTATGTAGTTTTCATAATCTTCAAATGGGACCTTTCTTAAAGGTAATACAAAGTTTTGGGAAATTTTGAAAAATGGGTGGAAAGTGATTCTCTCCATTTTGATATATTTGGATGCCCCTGTGGATGTATTAAACGCACTAGAAAATTTAGCCCCTTAAACACTTCTGTTTTCGAGAAAAATTGAATATAAAGATTTACCGGTGCTCCCGGTAAATTTTGATAAATTTCAAATAGCGCTTATGGCCGTACAATGGTAGCGGCGACCATGAAAATCTCAGAATATGTAATATAATTTCTGAACAGAAATAGCTAAACGGTCGATTTCAGTCAATAAACAATATTTGATAGCTTAATTAATATCTTGAACTTGAGAGTGAGCTATACATCATAAAGTCTTTATTATTTACAATTTCATAACTTTAGACTCGATTTCGACCGCGACAACGATCACTGAATATTGTAGGATCGCATAAGTTCATTTGAACCAAATTCATGTCCCCATACCAAAACTTTGTATCACCTTTAAAGATGCAATAGGAGTGGGCTCTCATGAGGAATTTGACACCTTTCTGGTGTTTACCCATATATCACATATCACATAAGGCCTGTCTTCATCTGCTCGAGTATGCCAAATAACCCGCTGTTTCCAGACTCAGGATATTATCCCGAAGCCCGAAATTGCGTCTCCACCACCAGACCGATACGCTCATCACAAACTAGCTCGGACGGTAGCAAATTAGCCCAAATTTCCCGGTTATTGCAACAGAGGGCTGATGAAAATGTAAATTAACTGGCTAATTTGCGATTGGGATAGGCCTTTAGTTCAATGTTGTTATCTTTACATGGAATCAGCCCTTTAGATCTTACCTTCTTTAGGATGTCTGCTGCCAGTGTCATGAAAGCCTGTTCAACGTTGATGTTTGCCTTAGCACTCGTCTCCATGAATTTGATTCCGTTCTCCTTTGCAATCTGGACAACAAAACAAAAACAAAAATTACAATCAAATAAAAGCTTACGTTATCATACTCCAACATGGACTGTTGTCGTGTTGCGCTCGCCCTATCAGCTGAGAAAATACACCCTCAACGCTAGAATAGAGACATTCCTTGCCTTTCATTTGTACCTTTTTTTTATGGGTTTATTTTCAGGGGGCCGAGCGATCTGTATGGGATGTGTGTAAATCTAAAGGGAGGACGTGATGATTGAAAAATAAAAGATATTTAAAAAAACAGACAGAATCTAGACTAACTCATACAATGCCGTACAACTTGAAGGCTGAATTCATGAAGGTGAAATCGACCAAACCCTGCTTTACTTAGTTGTTATGAGAAGTTTCATTCCCTTCTCCTTTGCAATTTGTTTAGTCAATGAGAATGATTTCATGCTATTCAACCAAGATGCAACCTTATTCTTAAAATTCTATTAGCCTAAATTCTTGTCACGGGACTATGAACTTGAAAACTAAGCATGTCTTAACTTGGAACTAGGCTCCAGAAATTGGATCGTGTTCTCTATTGCAATCTGAATAGTCAAAATGAATGCTTCATTAGGCCACTCTACACAACCCGAACAACATTTTGAAAAATGATTGATTTATTTCTACTGCTATTTACACTCCTGGAAAAACCCATTAAAAAACATAAGTATTTGCTCATTACGATTTTTAGGGTGAGTAATGCACAACTTGTGCAACTTTTTGCTGCTCTGCATGTGATCACACGTTAGTGGGGAGAGTCACGTGACCAAAAACCAGAATCATTCACACATGTTTCGAGAGTGGGCATTAACACTACAAAAAATAGGTGAAATTTCTGCCATCACACTCTAGAGGTGGATTTCACAATTTCGTTTTTTTGTCGTGTTTGCGGTAGCTGCCTTGCAACTTCAGACGAAACACTTGAATGTGAGAAAAATTAATGATTTTTTGCTTGCAGTGGAAATGCAGCTATTGTGAAGAGGTAATTTTGAGATAACAAGGATAGAACAAAATCATCTAAAATGCATATCGTCCGTTGTACAGACAAATAATATTTATTTTAGTGAGGGAAGTCATATATCATAAAAATGACATGAAGTTGAACATTCCCTCATACAATGTTTGATAAACATAATCTCCCATTATTCACATAAGAACTGCCCAATTGCATTTAGTACCAGTATGTATTTTGTCTCCTGTTCTTGTTTTCAGCCCTACCTGTAGCTTAAAGATTGCAGTGTATATATTTGCAATGTCACACTCACACCCCACCCATTTACAAAAACACAGAGAAGTGTTTACACTACAATTTATTTCTACATTCGGCCAATCTCAGCCCATCAAATGTAAATAGTGGTCAAGCCCGGTCTGGTCACAGATTAAATGGTCATCTCTTTTCAATATCTTTGGAAGACAATACAATAACAGGCTATCCACAATGGTCTGTTGTATTGGCATACATTTTTTCAAGGTATCATCACTTATTTTTTAGGTTGTGTCCAAGCTAAAATGATATGATAGATAGTGAAAGAATTGTCAGGATTAGTACACATTTTGTACTCCTCTTAGTGACCTTTTAACTAGTCCAGTCACCAGGTTACAGGTGCACACCTATATGCTAATTCAACCATAGTGACAACTGCATTCTACCATGAGATTTATCTCAAATGGTGGCAGTGTCCCCTCTCAAGTTTCTGGTAGTGTCCTCCTTCTTCTCACCCTCTCTTCGCTGATCATTCTCTATCTTCTGCTCCAGGGGGGTGTTGCACAAAGATCCGAAGTTGAACTTATCTCCAAGTTGGACTTAAAAATTATGGAAAGCCGTTAGCAACTTTGAAAATATCTTGTAAAAGTTATTTTAAAAGGCATAAAATGTTAATTCAAATCTTTCATATTTTCTATTATCAAGGAGATTTCATGTTCTTGATGTGGAATTTATGAAAAATCTAAAATACTTAAATTTTTGCTTTTGAAATATTTCATTATGAGGCTACAAATGACTCTCCATAATATTTAAGTCCAACTTAGAGTTAAATTCGACTTAGGATCTTTGTGAAACACCCCCCAGGCCTTGATTATACTCTGAGGTTCTTACATGCAGATGCCCTCTCGTTCAGTTCAGTTCAGTTCAGTTTATTAATATCATCATTTCGCAGCCTGGGCTGAATTGCATGACAATTTACAATTAAAAACATATCATATTTCTTTCACAATTGTTTCAAATATACTACTAGTTAAAATACCATATAATTAACAAAGACAATGAATTGTCATCAATAGTTAGATCACTTTCTAGTGACAATTCACAATATTAGCATTAAGAATAATTCAATGTAAATATATATACAACAACAATATTTGCATTAATAATATTATCTAATTTGGTTTTGCATCATTCAGTAGAGATTGGGTAAATAAGTCATTGATAAGGTATTTGAGTGCTTAATTGAACAAAAAATAACCTTGTTGATACCTGTAATGCTATGCGTAATACCCATGTTCATGCTTCGGTAATCAATTATGCCCCTGGAAATATAATTATATGAGAAATATGTTCTGATTTCAAAATATATATCGATAATAATAATTAAATAAATAGTGACACCGGTTTCGTCAAAAAGAGTTAGGCGTACATTGTTCTCTATTCACCCCTTTTATACAACCTTGGCATTATTCATTTAGGCAAGTTGTCAGAAATGGAATGGAGCTATTCTGATATCTTTTTGTCCTGGCATTGATAGATTTGTACGTTCGGCTGGTCCTGAGCTGCATGGAATGAGTTGTGTCGTTGAGAGGGAACACATTCGAGTATATATGGGAACGTACACATGCTTCGGCAAACTTTGTACATAGGTCATGCCTTCTTTCTTCTAATGTTTCTATTGAAGCTTCTTTGAGAGCAGTTGTGTAAGTGAGTTCAGCTCCAAGTACAATCCTCATCGCCCTCTTTTGGATTTTTTCCAGTGCACTAGTCTGCAGCTTTGTGAGTCCAGGGTGCCACACCGGTGCTGCGTATTCCAGAGCTGGCCGGACGTAGGACTTGTATACGGCAACTAGATCTTCTCGTGGGATTCGAAATCTCTTCAGTCTGCTCAGTATATGTACCCGTTTCTTGCTCTTCGACATCATTTCTTTGACTTGTTTGTCCCATTTTAGGTCACCTTGAACCCAGACACCGAGGATTTTCGTTTCATTGACCACCTCCAAAACATTCGGGTCTAGAGATATGTCTGGGGGTGCTGGTTTGGTTCTCTTGAAGCAAAACTGCAGTTGTTTACATTTAGCTGCATTTAGTTTCAAGTAGTTTTGGTCAGCCCATTGCACCAGGTCGTTGACAGCTTCCTGCAGGTGAGAAGGCTCATTGACGGTCTTGGTCTCGCCGATACTAAGATCGTCTACATACTTCCATGTATGCAACTCTGTCGACTCCAGTGCGTCATTGATGACTGCTAGAAAGGCTAGGGGGCCGATCTTTGTTCCTTGGGGAACGCCACAGGTTAGTTTCTTCCAGGAGGAGATAGCGCTTTGGTATTTTACTCTCTGGTGCCTATTCGTTAAAAAGTCGGCGATCCACGGGATGATTTCCGGACGGACTCCCATATTTAAGAGCTTAGTTACAACCACGGTGTGGTCTACCGTGTCGAACGCCTTCGAGAAATCTGTGACCACAAGATTTCCTACAAAATCCTGTTTGTCTGATTCCTTGTAGAATTGATTCATCATTTCAATCAAACAGTGTGTGGTTGATGAGCCTTTGAGGCTTCCATACTGATGTCGTTCAATATTTGACCCCATGTCATGTTGGATCCATTTAGCCACGAATCCCTCACAAACTTTCGCACATTGGGATGTTAGTGACACAGGCCTGAGTTTTGTGATGACAGGAGGTTTCTCTTTTGGCACGGGAACAACATCTGCGTCTTTCCAGATCTGAGGGACCTTGCCTTCCCTGAGAGAGGAGTTGAAAATGTCTGTCATGGGTATGCTGATCTCGCAAGCAAATTCCTTGAGAACTCTGTTTGGCAAGTCATCAGGGCCGATGGCTTTCTTAATGTTGATCCTGTTCAGCTCCCAATACATCTCCCACACTTTGACCTGTGGAGGCTCTAGAGAAGGAAGATATGTCGGAAGGTCGGAAGTACTTAGAGGCAGTCGACCCTGTGATGTAGATGAAAATTCCTGGTTAATGGCATTAGCTATTTCCTCATCACTGGCTTCAGGGAGCGTTGGCACAGATATAGGAGAGCGTTCTTTGATCTTATTGGCGAGGAGCTGAATGCCACTATGCCACTTCGAGGGGTCTGAAGATCTTAGCCCTGCTAAGGAGTTGTCATAGAAGTTCTCCTGAGCCTGTTTGATTTGGTTGCTGGCCAATTTCTTGTAGCGCTTCCATTCGGTTAAGGAACCTTGGGCAAACGCTTCCTGACGCATCTTGATGGTTTCTTTCACTCGTGCGGTCATCCAAGGCTTGTCAGCACTGTGCAGTTTGACTGATCTACGAGGAAAGTATTTATTTACTGCTCCTTGGATCAATGTATAAAAAGCGTTTGCTTTTGATTCCGTTTCTGGTACGGAAAGGACTTCCTGCCAAGATTGGGATGTAACCCACCTTCCAAACTCGTGGATCCCTTGATATGTCATTGGACGTGATGTTTTCTTGAGTACCTTGTTGGGAGCCTTTGTTCTATTCTTTGCAGTCCATATCACCGTGTTATGGTCACTCATTCCCAGAGGAGACTCAATGGCGGCTGACATGTAGTGTTTTTTCATATTGGTCAATATCAAATCAAGAATCGCCTCACCTCTAGTTGGCTTATCTACCATTTGTTTGAGTCCATGTACTCTCAACAAAGGGTCTACATCTACCCGGTTAAAATCTCCCAAAATAACAAATCCACAGTCTACATACATAGTGCCTAAAACATCAATTGAATTGGTTATGTGATCAATCAGGGCTGTGTGATGAGGGGATCCTGGTGGGATATACACTACACATACAATGATACTTGATATACATCTAGGTAATCTATGCGGTCGTATCCTCAACCAGACACATTCAAATTCATATTCAGAAGGAACATATATCATGGTAAGGGGAAATATCGGTATATCTTTCTGAACATACAATGCTACTCCCCCACCACGCCGTGTATGGCGATAATCCGTGAATGTCAAGTAATTATTTATCGACAACTGTTCATCTGATATATCAGGCGTTTGCCATGTCTCAGTTATAGCTGCTATGTCAATGTGTCTATTGTTCAGTATAACACCAAGTTCATCCGTTTTGTACACAATCGATCTAGCGTTCGTCATGAGAAAACTTGGCAGAGCGTGATGGGCTGCTTTCTTCGCTGGTTCTACATCGATGGAGACCAGTGTCCTCGGCCGACATTCATGCTGCTTGTCATCATTGTCCGTCCGATTCCCAGTCACAATGCTAATACTCCGTCGAAGATTTCGCCCTCCTCGTTTTCCCCGCCTCGTTTTTGTTCGTGCTAATCCAAGCTGTTTGATCAATTGTTGTGTGTCTCGATTGAGAGTAAACGTTCTGTTATTCAAAGCTCGGAGTTGATCTCTAGTATACACCACAGAGCGTGAAAGTGAACACGCCCCTGTGCATTCACGTAGTTTTCCATCCATGTTGGGCACAAATGACAATTCTCCAACACAAATTTTCACCAAACAGTAAGCAATGTAAATTGCCAACAATGTGTTTGCCACTATTGTTACTCTGATGAAGATCATTTTCACGTCCAATATCACACTCCTTGCTTTGAAAAACTATATTCTCAGTTGGTCATTCATTCATATACTCAAACATGAATCTTCAGTTACTATCATCTCAAATGTCCGGATTAGGGTGAGATTATCCACTCAATCCTATAGTCAAATAATCATATATGTCTGAGCTGTATCCATTCACTTCAAAACTCGTTTTTGATCACAGTTTGTTGACATTTACTCACCAAGCAATGTTTGGGGCCACAATAGCTAAACAATTCAAGATCTATCCGTGAGACCATATGTCGTTCACAATCACTCCACTAGCGGGAACTGCTGGCTTGGGTCAGCGGCAAAAGACCGTTCCGAAGAGTAACGCTGGAATTTGTAATCAGAGTGCTCAAAGCCGGGGCTCGAAGTTCAAACAAAATGCAGCATTCAGCAGTCTCCTTTCAAAAACACATCATCTAACCTTAGTTCTCAGGTATGGAATGAAACATAAACAGGTATATATGTTTCCAAAAGTGGAAAGAACTTGCGAAAAACGTGAAAATGTTAGAGAGATTTTGACCCTTGCTGCTGTCATGAAGCGCATCGAATCTCGAGGGTAGGCCGAATGACATGATCCATATTTTGAAGATATAGTGAAGAAAGAAAGCTGCAAGATTTGTCTTGATGGGGAGGATGCTCGCGACAAGATAGCAAACACTGTTTATGATCAGTAGCCCTTACTACAATCTTCCTTCCGGTACTTACCGTCTCTCCCCTGTCCTTGTTGATCATCCTCTTGTCATCCATGTCGCATTTGTTGCCTAGTAACATCTTCTCTACATCTTCATTCGCATGCTGCGGGTGGAAATCAGAAAAGAAAAGAGGCATGTTATTTGTGTTCTGCACATGTCTAGGCTAACTAACAGTTATCCCTACATATAGCTAGAGAGTAGGGCTGCGACGAGTAGTCAAATGCTCGAGTACCCGCTTTTCGGCGATGGACTTGGGATACTGCTCCAGTCAGCAGTGGTATGGTGGGGGCAAAAAAAAAAAATCATAAATAAACAAAATCAAATAAAAAAATTTAAAAAAAAAAAAATTATAAAAAAACATGGCGTCTGAATATTCAAGTATTCACTTGTAAGTAAAGCCTGGGAGTGTACTCGGGTACCTCATTACACTGTTGTGCACAGCCTTACTAGAGAGGTCACCTAACATTTGCTCCGACATAATTTGCGCACCTATTATTTCATAAAAGATAAAGGGGTAAGTTTAAGGTTGCACTTAAGTTTAAGGTGAGTTTTGAGCTTTGGTTTAGGGTTAGGTTTAGGGTTAGGTTTATCATTGGGGTCATAACACCCTACTGGCCAGGCTCCAAGGCTTGAATATGGGCTCTGAGATTCTTAAATGTGCAACCTGATCCTTATTTTGAAGATATGGTGAAGAAAGAAAGCAGTAAGGTTTGTCTAGATGAGGATGCTCCAGACAAAAAGAAAAGGAGGGAGAGAATGTCACCATGGCGCGCCAATGTCAGTCACCCCTCGAAAGTGGAAAAATGCTGACTTTTTATAAATGATGATGATGAAGATGCAAGTGTTTGTCCGGGGTTGAAGCTACAAAATTCATTTAGTTTAGGAAACCGCCCACAGTGCATACGCACGAAAATGCGTTGTAGAACTGCTAGAGAGTATCTGGTCTCGACCCTCCCATGCACTGACTGTAAAACAAGTTACATATATTCCATCGGTTCCTCATTTTAAAAAGTTCTAAACTGGTCCTTTAAACTTTTTAGAGGATGTGGAGTGCGCGACTTCCATGAGAAAATGTTACAAGTATATATTCAGCTTGCAACAGCTCCTACAGTTTTCTCATAAATCATTTGAAACAAAGGTCTTGTTGATAAGAAACACCATTAGTCTCTGTGGGAAATAAGACAGGAAGTATTACTTCAGAAAATATCAATAATCCTATTCTGTTACATAAAGAGTAGATTGATATTTTCTGTTTACAAAAAATAATCTTACATTCATACATGTATGTATAGATGCTAATACCATAAAGGCAATCCATTTTTATAGGTATTCATACTTCTTGGGAACCCAGCAAATACAAGTACATGTATAGTAGTAGTTTGCATGATTAAACTCTCAAACACATGCAGATTTATGCTATTGGATAATTCACTGAAATGTTGTCCCATTTTATACCATCATTTTTAAAAAATTCTAAAAATTCTAAAACTTTCAACCCGACCCTATCCAAAAATAATAGCCCTTCATATATCCTACCCAGGCTGATCCTACCATCTTCACTTACTTCTTGAATGTTCCTTAGCCACTTTGCGATGTTGTCGAAGGTCTTCTCTTGCGTGATGTCGTAGACGAGCATGATGCCCATGGCCCCTCTGTAGTAGGATGTGGTAATCGTGTGAAATCGCTCCTGTCCGGCCGTGTCCCATATTTGTAATTTGATCTTCTTACCATTGAGTTCTACCGTTTTAATCTTGAAATCAATACCTAGAGAAAGAGATAGAATATACAAGAAATGGAATATTGCGTTAGTACATGAACTGTTACTTGTCTCAAAGCAGGACTGCACTACTTGTAGTTACATGTTCACTGTACTTGCGCCCTCTATACAGCCAACAATGCCAAAGCGGTACCCGTTGATACCCCATGGTCCCCTTTTTCTTATGTAAACTGAGAGCTGATTTGATGAGATAACCACCTGCCAGTGACCATGCAGGGAGGTCTAATCCCTCCTGACCAAACTAGTGCAGATAGGCTTTAAGTATTGAATCCCTTGTAAAAGTAAAAACAAGAAAAAAATATACATTTTAGGTTCATATGAAATCCGATAACGTAAAGTTTAGGGTACGGTTTAAAGCTTTGAGTTCATCATGTATTTATGGATCATGCGGACGCACACATGATTATGAATTACTCAGTTATAAACCTTGAGATTTCTTATGGTTATTAATGCCATATATAACCACAAGCCGTGAGAGTTCTCACTTGAAGTTAAGCGATGTGCGGTTTGCAAGTAAAATGATTGCTTGCCCAGCTTGTAGTTTTAACTTTGAATACTTGTTGTTTTGGTCCTGTGTGAACCCTCAGTGGACTTTAAAAGGAGAGGGTAGTCAGGCCATATTTCGCAGACACCAGACTTTTGGTGGAAATACCCGTATCTGGATACCTACCCTCTGGACATCCAGCCCCCCCCCCCCCCAATAACCACCCCCAGTCAACTACACCCGAGGACAAGTACCCCCCAAAGACGACTACCTCCCGGACAACTACCCCCCAGACAACTACTCCCTAGTATAGTTGTCCGGGGGGGGGGGGGGGGGGGTAGTTGTCCTGGAGGATCGTTATCGTAGGGGGTAGTTGACTGGGGGTGGTTATCTGGGGGTGGATGTCCAGGGTGTAGGTGTCCTAGAAACGGAAATTCCATTTACGTGTGTACAGTAGGCGCACACCAAACCCACAGGCCTATCAAGAATTACCCCCTAGTCTCTTGGAGAGTCTTTTGGTGAGGGGAATGCAAGGCATCATGTCAGGCCTTTAGGTCATAAAACTGAAGGCTAATCTTGGTGATTGACAACACCTCTTAATATTGATTAAACACCTGAACGAACAGTGTCATACTCCCCATGAGACCACTTCTGGGTGTCTTTAAAGGTACTATGTCCCATTTGCAGGCCCAAAAAATGAAAAAGTTAAATTCCAACTGCATTTGAAAGATAATACTTATTTAGAACTTCCCTAAAAAAGGTGGGGCTTGAAAATGTCTTCAAGTGGGAAAATAATGACTATTAGTTGTCAAATCGACTTTAGGGCTATAGAGCCCAAAAGTAATAGTCTTGATTTTCAGACAATTGTACCGAATGGTCATACGTTTTATGCTGCGCAAAGATTCAATCACTTTAATCTTGGTCATCACAAGAAGTGGGTTATTGATGTAGACAAATGCTCATGTACCCTTTACAACTCTTTTCATGTATGTTATTACCAAAGAACAAAAAAGCCAGTCAGTCACTCAATAGTGTCTGACAGTGAAGTCTAGCAAGTAAACGGGTTTTCTTGCATAATTTGAATATGAGGACACTGCTAACGTTTAAATTTCATAGATAGGACATACATGACATATTCATAATTCCTGCAAAGTTCTACAGAATTAGAGGTTGGCTGCAAAAGGGACATAGTACCTTTAAAGGATCATCATACATACCTTTACAACCAAATAAAAAAGAAAGTTTTGGAAAATTCCAAGTTTGCACTCTGTATTTATTTATTCCCTGTATTCTTTACACCTGTATCAAGTACATATATGGATAAGGAAAGTCCACAAAAAGGCTTTTGTAACATTGTGAAAAAGTGGACTTAAAATATTTGAACAAGTGTACATGTTTGCACTACTCACAAGACTAGGATTAGGAAATTCCAATAGAAGTAAATGCAAATACGTTCTTTGCCAGAAAATATTATTTTCTCAAAGTTGTACATCTTCAATTATACTATTATAACCTGTACAATGTATGACCCATTTAATCCATATTGATTTCCTTTCTACATGTAATGCACTATCCTTGCATGTGTATGATGACTACAGTACGGTAGTTAATAATAGGAAAGTACATGTATAGATTCAAGCAAGCTCCTTTTGGAGATCTTTCACTCTTTTGAAAAAGCTCAATTTTGCAGAAACAAACCCACAATAGGTGCATTCAAACATAGAGAAAAGGCGAGGTTTGGACCTCGCTTTTGGCGAACCTGTGAATTGGTTTAATCGGATATACCAATTTGAGGGTTGCAAATTCAATGAGGGCAAGGATGGCTTATTTTGAGTGAATTAACCAAAATAACAATGATAAAAAGAGTGCTACTCCGGTGTTAAATAACTATTATATCATACACTGTACATTACATTACATGTATTGGCCTTCCTTGTAGTACATACATGTATAATGTATACATAATGCTACATGTACAGTACATGTATAAGACTTTGAGAACGGTGTATTTTAAAAACTTATACATGTACAGGTACATGTATGGAGTAAGTTACACCTTCACTAGTGAAGGTGTAACTTACTCCAGGGTGGAGAGAGGCAGTTAGAAAAAACATGCTGTATCTTAGGTGGTGACAGCACATCAAAAGGTCCAGATTTTTAAACTAAAAACTTATTTATATTAGGGTTTTCATTAGAGAAAAAGATTTTCTTTTCTGAAGTGATAAACTAGCCTACAGGAATCGTATGACAATGTAACAGCATGAGGTATGAGAAGAACATCAAAATCAGAATTAAAATAAATCAAACAAATACACAAATTTGCATGGAGTTTTCAAGTCCTTAATCTATAAAAGTTACAAAGGGGGGTGTGTGGTCTCTTGAAATGACCAGCAAATACTTTATTCTTTTCTTCAAAAATCCATTATGTAAAAGGGGAAGAAAACTGATTTTTGTAACAATCTTGGTAAAAATTGCTTGTCAGATTTCATTTGAAATAAAATGATGAGGCTGAAAGCAAATAAATATTTGTTTGATTTTCGATAGCACTCACAGCTCTCATACCTGTATTCTTGCACAAATTTACTCACCAATACCTCACTCAATTGTCCTTTTCTTGATGGGCAATTTTCAATAAAAAAAAAAGAGAGAAAAAAAGAAAAAAGAAAAAGAAAATGGACACTCCAGGAACATACATACATGTACAAAGGTTACTTCAATGAATCCTAGGGCAAACTGCCCATTCAATTGCCCCTGCGCCATTTGAGCCTTGCTCTTACCAATAGTGGTTTGATAGTCTCTGTAGGGGGACGCCCTCCCCGTCGAGAAGATGGTGATGAGGGCAGTTTTGCCCACATAGCTGTCACCTATGACCAACACCTTGAAGATGTAGTCGTACACGTCTCCTGACGGCATCCAGGAACGACGCAACGAGCTCTCGATCACAATCTTGTCCAGGTAGTTCCCATTTTCCATTTGGTTTTCTAGAGGTGGCCCACGCCACTGTCATTGTTATACACAGCTTCAACAATCCATCGCACACCTTTTGGGAAGTTTTTAAACGAAAGCACAATAACGGAGGACAGGTAATCCTGGATTAATACTTGAGGTGAATTGTTTTCCTTTGGCGATGGGAATCCTTTTATGTCCAGTTTCAAGTCCAGAAGTACCTCATGCTCAAATCTTTCACAATGAGAGTAAGGTGAATGCCACTTCTGCTACTTCCAGCCTGTATCTAAATGGATAAGTGATATATTACAAACCCATCAAAGCTCAAAAGGTCCAGTTTCAAGTCCAGAAGTCTACATGTACGTCTACGCTAGTACTCGTCAAAAGCCTTTTCAGCAACTTAATGAGCGCCAGTACCTCAAGCTCAAATCTTTCACAATAAAAGTAAGGTGGAAGTCACTTCTGCTACGGTACTTCCAGCCTGTATCTAAATAGATAAGTGATATTTTACAAACCCATCAAAGCACTACCTGCAAAACGATTGTTAAAAGGATCTGCCAAGAAGTTACTCAGAACTCCAAAAGAACAGTGTCAGGCAATGATTTTAAGGACTATCAAATTCAGGGAGATATGAACTTGAAGAACACTTGACCACCAGTACGCTGTAGTTGTAGATTGAAAACCACCCACAAGCATAATTCTGAAGAGTCCCAAAGCTAACACAAAATGAAGTGTATGGTGCTACACAAAATCTACATGTACAGAAAGTCTCTTCTAATTTTGATGCAGTCCTCAGCTCAGCTTAGAAAGTTCCAATGGCTATTAAAGGTAAATGCATCTTTAGAAAATCCACATCAATTAATGTAAAAGTAACTGTCGATCTTGAAGCAATGTAAAAAGTTCAAAAGTTCCATATCCTATCTAGACAGAAGCAAATAAAAGGAGCTTCACACAATCATCGATACATTCCTCTTCAAATCTTGTTGAAAACTTCAGAAGTTCAATTTATCACACACAAAGGCAACTGCATGGGACTACGCAGAAATATTCATGCCATTCTCATCCAAGCTTGTCCCAAAAACGATCATAAGCATTTCCAATCCGATCAAATTAAAAGTGAATTTGTAGACTCACACCAGACAAAGTACTGATCTTGCACATTGGCAGTACCCTCCTGTGCTTCAGAGCTGAGTTCAGTAACAGTGTAAGAACAAAAACTATTGAACCCAACAACACCTCTACCAGTACCTTTCATGTATTACATGTATTCTCCCCTGTACAACAAGAGCCCTTCCTTTCTGTCAGATGCCAAACAGGTAAAGCATGCATCACTGAACATACAGTAAGCCACTGGATATGTAGATCACAACCTTCCCGCTGGAGTTAGAGCAAGAGGTCACGTCATTTAGACCCAAACTTCACAAGTGCATGCCCCAGTAATTTGTTCCCAAATCCAGGGCGGGGCAGTGGTGTCTGAACAACAAATACTGAACGAAATTCTCGATCAGACTCTGTATGGGCATTTAAATGGGGGCAGTTATGGAGGTAAGGAAATGTACACTATATATTTCTTGGTTGGAGGTAACCAGTGCTGTAGGTTCTGGCAAATTATCTGTACCATACAATGGACCAAACACAAAATGGAGGCCTGCACATGACAGTGAAAACAATATACAGCTCCCCTACCCCCCCCCCCCAAAAAAAAAATGCCAATAAGCAATACTCCAGCAGGTGACCTACATGTACTTGTCAATACAGAAATAGGAAACCTTTTAAAAAAGTCAAAGTTGGTGGGAAAAAGGCCTACCGGTAAATCAAATACAATTTCTGCCAAAAGGTTGTAAGGCAGAAAAGTCTTTTTCAAACTGAAAGTACTCCTCAAAAAAAATCATTTGTAAAAATTTACCTTGATCTTCAAGCAAATACATGCCCTTCATTTACATGTCAAATAGAGCCTAGTATAAAGGCTATACATGTAGATCAGAGCAAGAGCAAAAACAAAAAAAAACAAAAAACAAGCGATTCCAATTCCATTTTTCTGCAATGCTTATTGTTTAAACACCTCTATTTGTTTCACTGCTGTAGTGTAGTGACACTGATAAATAGCTTCTCCCTTTACCAGAAGTGTGCATTGTTCCTTTGACCAAATAAAGCAAATGAGAAATTAAGCTCCTTGAATTTGCAAATGATCTCTTCAAAATTAGTTTCATAAAAAAGGAGAATACACAATGTACCTTCATATTTCATAGATGCTATGACCTTTTCACTTGTGTACTCCCCTTTCTGCTTACAATGATTCTTCAACGTTTCTTACAGTATGTCTATACAAGTTTTGATTAATCTTTCTCTGGTCTGAATGGGCTTGTAGCTTCACAACATGATGCTTACATCAAGTTCCCATCACATGCATGACCTTTGACCCTAACCCTTGGAGAACTCAGAGGGAGGGCCCAAGCACATGTAAACATGACAATTTTAAATAATATTCGGGTCAAAAGAAACATCCTGGAAAGTGGAAATCCTTTCAAAATGGCTGCTTCTTTTGCAATTTTAAATATAGGTGTGAATAGTAAATCTGTTGAAACTTGAAACCCAAGTTGCCTACAGAGGAAAACACATACTTGGGTAAATTCATTCTAAATTTATTTTTGTTATAATTTTGAATTAATTTGTTTTTAATTTTGAAATGTAGACTTGAAGCTTTCATTAAAGGTAAAGACCAGTAATGGTCATGCGATTGCATTGTGAAAGAAACGTTGTGGAATCGATCAGAAAAGGTTGATCATTTAGCATACATGTATAAGTATCGGTGTGAACTGCAAGGTTCTGGAATCATCAAAATGATAAGAAATTTGGCCCAGTCTTCGTAAAGTTACAAGCACTGTACACATAAAGATGTATATGGGACTACGCACACGTGCGCGACACGTGCGTTTATCTCTCACAGACCATGTAGCTAAACTAATTTACCAAATATATCAATTAGTAGGCGGTTTCCCGGCAAATTTTTTATCATCATGTACATTTGTATTAGTCAAAACATATTCTTTCACATAATTGGTAATAAGAGCTTCCATTTCATTTCTTGAAATTAGGGCATTTCCAATACTGGTCTTTACCTTTAAACCATAACCCATGTTGCCAACAGCCTCTGTAAGGGCAGTATTATGAACAGGATTTACCATCAGCAGCGTTATCTTTCCATGAAAAACACTTTGGGCCTTGCCTCGATTATGGAAATTTGCATTACCAAAAGTATGCTAAAGGTGCCTTGAATTCATGCTCCATTGTAGGTTCTACTCAAATTGACCTTGTCATGCCTCAGCAGTTTCTCTAAATAATAACTCTGATAGTCCTGTTGTTTTTGGTACAAAAAAAGGGTTATTCATCTAATGCAACAGATATAGTTATGTATGTGGACAATGGAAAAAGTCTGACCAAGTGTACAGTACGTGTCAGAGAAATAAATGGAGTGTTCAATGAAAAAGGCGTACTCAAGTCCAGGAGAGCGTTTCACAAAGACTAAGATCGACTTTAAGCTGGACTTAACTATGGCAGGCCGTTCATGCCACTGTTTGCTCTCACCATTATGATCTTTACATAATGCTTTTCCTTCAATAATGAATCATCAACAAATGTAAATTGTGACCATGATTTGTACGTCCCTTGAGAGACCAATGCCAGTAAAATGGTGAGAGCAAACAGTGGCATGAACGGCCTGCCATAGTTAAGTCCAACTTAAAGTCGATCTCAGTCTTTGTGAAACCCTCTCCTGGTCTAAATGTAAATATGCACAATGACAAGAATGAGATATATGCATTCTTCCTCTGTCCAAATACGAATGGCTGTTCAAATACCTGTCCATGGCATACCCATCAAATCATCAAGAAAATACCTTGGTGATGAGATGATGCTTACTATCAACTTTGCTGGTCAACAATGCAAGCACCAACCCTGCCCATCCCAAACAAACAAGTACATGTTGATAGTATTAAAGTGTACCGGTACCACTCACGTTAAAAAGATAACTTGCATAGATAGCAAGAATTAATAAAATCAATCTAAAACAAAAATTACCTGCAATTTATTGGCTTACTATGGGTTAATCAGATGCATTTTAGTGGGCCTATTCTTGTAATCTGTAAATCAAACTTTAAATGATGGGGAGGGGGGGGGGGGGGATCAGGAATGGTGAAATACCATTGAAGGTAACCAGCCATATACTAATCTAGACTTCCAATAATGGCATGCAGTCAGGATTGAACTTTATTACAATGTAAGCATACCAAGGAGTTACCATCCACACCATTACACAATACTATAATGCAGTATAGGTATACACTGTAGGCACAATGGCCCGAATTCACAAAGGAGGTTTGTCGACAAACCTTGGTTTTCGTACGTCATATGACGCGTTTTATGCGTTTTTTACAAACCTGGTTTGTAAAGAACAAAAGGAGGTTTGGCGAAACAAAAGGAGGTTTGAGCTCAAACCTGGCTTTGTGAATTCGGGCCAAAGACTTCAAGATTTGATGATTAAAGTCTAAAGTGACAAATAAGATTGTAGAATTTCTGTTATTCCACACAGGTCTACACATGCTCTCTGTTACTAATTTATTTCAGTTCATGCATGTTACCTCGAAAACCCTGGTTACCATTTGATTCACATGCAATGCAAAATAGCATTTCCATTGATGGAATCCACTTTGCCTTCATGCATTGTTGCTATGTCTGTCAAGCCTCTGACAAGCTTTTAATTGTCGAGGGAAACCTTTCTGCAAAAAATATCCAGTTTCAACAATACCACTGAAGGATGAATGTATTTCACCACCCCTTCTTCCCTAGTGTCATCAGCCTGTGACATTAACTTCCGGCATCTACTAGACCAGCCCCTCACCCTTACGCAGTTCAAAAGGGGGCTAGAAGAAAACACACTAAAGCCAGTGGGGACAGAACGCAGGGAAACTTTTTACTTGCACCAGTAGGCCTACACTATTTAGTTATTGATTATTATAAGGACAGTTTCGCAACAACACCCTGCATACAGCACAAAAGCACCTCACAAAGAAGGAAACTGCTCTATATAAGAGGCTGGTACTCTACTGAAAGAAGGAAAAGAAGAACTACACCGTATGCATTAAATTAGGAATAGGTCTATAACTTCTGGAGAAAAAAAAAAATCCACGTATGGATTCATCCCATACTACCATACAATGCCATTATTTAAACAAGAGTGCAAGAATTCTTCAGACTTGTTGCTTTCCTCAGTCCTCAGTACAGCAGATGATGTGTACAACTGTACATAGAGTATCTTCTGATCACCATTGCAATAAGAGATTGTCAAACCCGCAATGAACGTGACTACAGAGCTGAGTACAGACAGACAATGCTGCTATCAATACAATGTAGGTCACACTCATGTAATGTACAAACGTACATTTACTTCAAAATATTTAACAATGATGCACACGTACACCTGTAGACGTCAAATCCATGATTAACTTGCAAACAAATGATTTACAACACACAATGCCAACTTCACAAGGAAGTGCAAAATTTCTCTGGTTTTTATCACTCCTCAGAACAACAAACTTACATGTAAATGTACAATGCCAATTCAAAATTCAAATTGCAAGATAAATGTACATGTACTGTATGCAGATGCAAAAACAGGACTATATTAGACTCCACGCCAACTTCATTTCTAAAAACAAAACAATGCCAACTTCTCACCAAAAAACTCAAAATAAAATCCTCTGATTTGTATTACTCCTCAGTAACAAATGATCATCCAACTGAATACCACTTCCAAGTCAAGCTCTCAAATTTGAAGATATAGGTGAGGAAAGAACATGGCTCATCTTTACAGAAATTCAAATGAAACAATGATTATCTCCCATTGATGTACATAATGCCACTCCACAATTCTAAATTTCAAGATTGAGAATTGAGGGGACGCAAAATCATGGCCATTACACAAATTTACAAACAGTCACGTAGTGTAGATGAGCACTGAATCCACTTTATGATACCCTGATTCAAGATGTAGCCGACACAAAATAATGGCTTCAATACTCCAACACACGATCATGTAACAAAGCAGCTTCAAGTCATGTACATACATGTACTGTACATGTAGAAGATGATGGAGGCCTACATGCATGTAAGGTAGATCTCCAATGAATAACCAATGACATCATCAACAAAACGTATTCATATCAGTACTGCACAACGCACGTGAGAAACTACACATGAATACCCAACCTGACACAAAAGCTAGGCTGAAGTCTCTTTCAATAAGGCTTACATAACAACTCGGTGATCACGAACAAAAGATTAGACCAAGAGCTAGGTCTGTATTAGTTCACTGCACAATGAATACATGTACATGTATGTGTTGGATTGATTTTTGGCCCAACTGCTAAGAAGTCTGTTCATGTATGTACATTAGGCCGACATGTAAATTGTATACTTGTGTGTGGAACAACCAGAGGACTTTATGTGCATGTAGATATATTTACTATTTAGTCATATCTGAGGGACTTGGTGATTGAAGATTAATGCCTCACCAAAGGGGTATGACTACAAGCTTATCAACCTAGCTTGGAACCCTGGACCTACTGCTTCTGGTGCAAGTGTTCTTCCCCAGAGCCATCAAGTCTCTACGCATGCAAAACAGATTATGTAATGATATGCATGACCTCTTTTTTTTTTGGGGGGGGGGCAGCTTTTTGAGCTGAAACACAAAAACCTGTTTATTTTTTATTTTTGTTTTAATTAATACATTTTTTTGTAGTTGCATATCAGAGTCTTTGGACTTGTGCCACCCTTAACTCCCAGCAAACCCTGGATCTGCCACTGTAATGAGCTAAAGCATTAAAATGGCAACTTAGGGTAACAAGGGAGAATCCAGTTTTCCATGAAGAAAAAAAATTGTTTCAAATATACACAAAGCTAAAACTTTTGGAAATTCAAAAGAAACTTCTTTATGTATAAAATTGTGTGGATAAAAAAATATTAAGATACAAAGGGTGAAAAAAAAGGGTATAAAAACTTCACAAGCCATTGCTCAATAACATGAATTGGGACTTAAAAAAATTATTATAACACTGAGCATCCACAGTGTACATGTAACTGTATAACCTACATAAGCAAATACAGAGATACACTGTACCACCTCAATTTACCATAGTTAAAGGACAAGTCCACTCGAAAAATAACTCACTTTCAATAAAAGCAGAAAAATCAGACAAACCAATCAAAAAAAGTTTGAGCAAAATCGGACAACTAATAAGAATGTTATGAAGTTTTGAAAAAGTATATAAAACTATGGAACAATGAGAATCACAACACAAATTGCCAAGATGGTTATCAGTTTGTGACGTCATGTCCTCACAACTTATCAATTGCTTTATATAGTTTCATCCCATTAAATTCCCTTTTTATCCCCCAAAACTTGATTTCCCCATGCCTTTGCCCAGGTTATATGATTTGTATCATTGCGTGCATGACATTTCCCAGATTTTTTTATGAATTTTGAAGAATTGATACTATTTTCTGAATATTGTATTTCACAATTATTGATTTTTATATAAATTGTTTATCAAAATTCATTTTTTCATGATTTAACTGGACAAAAATTACTCTTCATTTGTGCATCCACACAAAAACATATTACTAACAATCTAACTTGGATGCTGGTGTGAAGAAATAAAATTCTTAGGGTGAAAATAGAAAATTTATATGATCAATATAAAGAAAATAATTAGTGGATAGTGAGGACCATACGTCACAGACTCATGAGTGAGTTGCCAATTTGTGTAGTGGTTTTCAAAGTTTTTCATGTCATTACAAATTCATAAATTTCTTATTAGTTATCCGATTTTGCTCAAACTTTTTTTGATTGGTTTGTCTGATTTTTCTAGTTCTATTGAAAATAGGTTATTTTTGGAGTGGACTTGGGCTTTAAGTACTAAATATTTGTACTAAATTATCCAGAATGTTCTCTTCACAAGGAGGAGATTAATCATCAAAAGTGAGTTTCATTATTAAATACAAAAGAAAATTGTAAAACAAAACATGGTATCATGTTGTTTAATAACAGGGGTGATAGTGAGCACTAAAAAAAAAATAGGTTTTTTGTTTTCCCCTCAACCACGCCCCACTTGAGTAAAAAAAAAAAAAGACGATTCGCGGGGAAAAAATGGCATCTAACAACATTCCCCCGTTTCGAGTAAGAAAATTGAGACAAACTTGGGAAAATTGGGGGGAAAATTGGGGGAAAAATAGGGAAGAATAGAGATAATAAGAGGGAAATCGGGAAAATCAGGATAAAATAGGGAAGGAAAAAAAAATTGTTAAAAAAAAAAAAAAAAAAAAAAAAAAAAATCGGGAAACCGATTTAAATCGGGTTTTTTTTTTTTTTTTTTTTTTTAAATCGGGAAGAAAAAAAAAATCGGGAAAAAATCGGGAAAAATAAAAAAAAATCGGGAAACCGATTTAAATCGGGTTTTTATCAGGCCTGAATAATCATTATCCTAGGGGTATAACATCCAACTTTTTCATCCCAGTGATTTTCAAAGACATCATGGACAGAATGAAAGAAGCTCAAAACCAAAAGTTGTTTGGCGCCCTCTCTCTCAATATGCAAGATAGTTCCTCTTATAGATCATTTCTCAACAGATCATGATGGGAATACCAGCACGTACTGTACATGTATGTACAAGCAGTGTACATGTACATGACATGTTCATGTTCCAAGAAAACTTGAGTTAGAACTGTTTACTTTCTTCTTAATACCAGGCTTGAGGAACAAACTTAAGTCAAATAAAGCTATAATCTTATTTCAACAACACCACCAAAAAACAAAAACATAATCAGAAGAAAAGGGGAATTAAACCTGCAAGTTTGCCTATCTGGAAGCAGAAAGAATCAGAGGAAAAAAAAGTACATTAACCAAAATTATCAGAAAATTATGATAAAAATCACTGGAATAAAATTAAAATCCTTATACTTTGATCAGACAAAAAAAAAGATATATTCATGCATGAACTTTTGAATTTCGTTTTTTGATTACTGACATGTACAGTATATAAAATTTGCTTTTCCTTATCGAACAGAATCAACAGACTCATTTTCTTGGAAAAACTTGTCAAAATACATTTCTCAATAAAACCAAGTAATTTTTATGTATTGATTTTATTTATCTGTTTATTATATTTGTCTTTGCTGTTCTTCCCTTCACCTTTTTTTCCATATACCGGTACATACATGTACATGTACCGTAAATCTCTGTGTATAAGGCGGACCTGTGTATAAGGCGCACCCCTATTTTGAAGACAAAAAAAAAAAAAAAAAAAATCAGGAAAAAAAATTAATTTGTCAACTTTAGTTTTAAAACCAACATTATTACTAGGTCAAACTTAGTTCCAATCGGCAAGGTTTTGTTGCCACTACGGAGATCTTAAAACAATAATTATCGGCAAGGTTTTGTTGCCCCTACGGAGATACCAATATACAGTGTATATAGATGGCCATTGCCTTGTATTGGATACCGGTAAATGTACTGGATATACTGTATCTGTCAGTAAATTTCCTCATCCCTTCTTTCTTCTTCTGTAATATGTCCTTGTGTGTGCTCCTACATGTACATGTACGTCTTTTAATCATGTTTCCTTAAGTATGAACTGTATGAATTTTCTTTGCATTTTATTTCTCTATTATTTAATGACATTTGCTTGCCATTCTGCCATGTTTAAAGCCCATTAAGTATCAGCGCAGAAGTTGAGTCATCACATAAATACAGTAGACACTGTATGAAAGGAAAATGGGTCACAAGCCCATAATGACCAGGTGTAATGAATTTGTGCATTCACTTCCCGATACTAAACTCTACATTAATCAGCTACAACCTTGACAGTCTTAATGCCTTTGTTTAGTCCAAAGAAAGATTCTGTTTATAGCCCTTGTTCAAATGCAGCTCCTGTCAAAGAAAGGCTGTTAATAACACAGACTTTGTACTTTACACTATCTTTGTTGCACTTTATACTTTGTGACAAAGTGCCAACTTTTGCTGAATTGAAAGAAAAAAGATGACAAATAATTTGAGAATAAGAAAAGTGTGATTCCAGCAGACGCTACAAGTACATGAACATCTGTACAGCAAAGGAAACAATTACACCGACACCTACATGTACAGTGTACTTTTGATATTCAGTTAATGACTGTTCAGTGAATATGGGCTTTGTGAGAAGAGACATACACAATACACATGTACATGTAATCTACATGTATCACCCCAAAAAATAAAACATGTTATTGCTTACTTTATCAACACGGGGGCGGTGGGCGATTCACCCCCGTGAGCTCCATAATCGCCCCCGCCAGGTTGCTCACGGGGGCGATTGCAAAATTAAAAATCGCCCCCGTGGAATTATAAAATAAAGATTATCTTTGCTGATTTAACTTTAACACAATATTGCGTATCAAATTTAAAACCAATGAAATGGAACTTTAATAGATGGCACTTTCCCTCCCATCTCTACCGATACAAACAACGGAAGCTCGCTGTGCAGCTAATGCGGCCGTCAGCAGTGGCTATACTACGCCGGTATCTGCCGGAGCTGGAGACGATCGCGCAAAGACTGAAACATGGAGAAGTTTTTTGTAGTGAAAAGTGTGAATCCTCTGAAATCTGGTTATTCTAAAAGGCCAGCAAATAATGTAACTCGACCAGTAAATCAATATTGAGAAGGAGATCACCAAAGATGTTGCAGGGGCGGATCTACATGTAGTTTAGGGGGTTGCAATGAACCCCTCCCCCTTGGGCTGCCAAGTGAAAATTTAATGTGCATAGAAAAATGCTATCATGTGTCCAGACCTACACAGTATTAGATGTCAGTAGATGCCATGAAAACATCACTAACGCGAAGGTTCAAAATAGCAACAAAAAAATCACCTCGCCGCTTCGTGGCTCGTGGACGATGCTTCGTATGTTATGCCAGTAAAACATCACGTACGAGGGTTCAAAATAGCAACAACAAAAATCGCCCCGCCGCTAAGCAGCTCGTAGATGATGCTCCACATCGTATTTGGGTTACCCCCCCCCCCCCCACCCTTAGCAAAAGCTAGATCCGCCTCTGTGTTTTGGAAGGATATGGTAAAGACTAGAGCAAAGACAGAATGTAAATAAGG